GGTCGTTATAGTAGTGGTATGTTTGAACAAAAAGTAATGTTCTGCTGTTAAATTGATTTCTTTTGGAGTTGTTGGTTAGTTGTTTCCTCAGAGATGTTCTTCGAGTCAGCTGCTTTCAATCTAGCACATATCTTAGTCTCCATGTGTCGATAAAGACTATTTGATTAAGATATTGTGTTTATAAATCTGTAACCATATTCTCAGTTGATGCCTACCTACACAATTTTCACTTTTCTTAATTGTTTTATAAATATACTTGCTGTATGTTTTCCTGATTTAATAGCTTGTGGCAAAAAGAAAACAGTTGATACTGTTATAACACTTTCCGATTCGGAGTCTGGTGAAACTAATTCAAATAGCTCACAAACAGAAGAGACTCCAGATGAGGTTGAAGAACTTCATTCAAATCCAGATGTTTTGATCGTTCATGAGCCTGAACAAGGAACACCCACACCACTCTGTCCCCTCACTACTAGAAATGATTCTGCTAATGAAATTACTGACCAGTCTTCATTTTTATCACCACAACCACCTAAACGTCCTTCTTTGGAAGCTTTCAGTATGGGTATACAACCTTATAGGCCATTTGAAAATCTTCCTGGTGTACATGGTGGTTATCAACGTGTACTCAACTCACTCAAGAATTCACGTGAGTCTTTAGCATCTCATAATAATGTATCAGATTCAAAAAATATACAAGATAATGATTATCATTCGTCATCAGCTCGACTGAGTCGTCACAATGGCAATCACTCCTCTTTTAAAAGTAATCGATATTAAAAAGAATATATACCGTTCACTTTTGAGTTGCATTTTATATTCTTCAGTGTTTAAAAATTGAAAGATGTATATATGTGTAAATTATTCAACTCACAGCACTCACTCTATATATACATGTCCATTGATATCTCTGACTTTGATTTTATTCATTTTTCTGTAAATTAGTAAATTCACCTAATTGTTAATATCCATTTGAAAGTGTCATGCATGTCGATTGTTATTAAACATTTGAATATCATCTTCCAGTCTTCTATCTTATATATTTGTCATTAAAATTTGAATACGACTGGTATGTTATTATTGATGCATATACTTTTTACAGAGAAAAAAATCGAAAACTCATAAAAGATTTGACCGGTGGATACATTTACACATCTGTTCAAAAAAATGAAAAAATTTTATTCCCAGCTACGTTGTATTTGTTCACCAGAGATCTCAATACTTGTACTTTTGCCACAGGATATCAATTTGTTGTCCAGGTTGTAAAGAAGCCGATATATTGATAGACTACCCTCTTAAATGGTATATGTGATTGTGTTAAGTAATGGATTGTTACTCAACGTACTTTTCAAACATTGAGTGCAAACTTTTCTCCATATGTTTCGGTTTGGCTAGTTTCATCAGATGCCGCACAAATTTGTAGCTTAAAGTCGACTACATTAACCTGTTACTGGCTAAAATGATTTTAAAATGTGAACAAGCCCTTGAGATTTCAGTTTTTCTACAAGTTCGGTGGTTATTTGTCATTAGACAAATCTTAGCGTGCTTCCTATTTAAATTCGAGAAATTTATTTTGTAGAGTATCTTGACATGCGTCGTCTTAAATTCTCGAATCTCACGTAATTCAACGAAAATGAGTAAACTATGAAAGTTTGAGAAAGTATTTAGTTAGCTTGTGGATTGAGTGTGCACTGATGACTTAATGCATCCTTGTTTTCAATTGATCTAGAGTATATCAGTCCATAATAAAAACTGCTTTTAAAAGTATATAACTAAGAAATAATATGGTTTTGGACATTTAAGGCAACATGAGTTAATGAATTGCTGTCATATGTGTCTGTTTTTTTATTTCTTTTAGATTTTTCAAACCTTTTGTTACTTTTAACTAAATCTTACCAAATGCACTCTGTAGATATTACGATATTATTCAAATTATATGGTTTAAGGACACTCGGATTTCATAAAATCTATATACACTGCACCCCTTGAACAGAGAATTCATTAAATGCTTTTGAGCAGCTTATTTATTCGTGTGGTTGATAGTAAACTATATTTTACTGAGTTTATTCGTTTTTATTAACCTCATCATTGTGGAGATATCTCTTATGATGTTGGTAATATACTTGGGGTTGTGGTCGTCTTTTCTTCAGCCCATGATTCAAGCAGTTGGCTTGTAACCAACATGTCGTTAGTTCGCTCTCTGCTTTAATTACTTATGTTCAAGACAATACATGTGATTTGTCTCATACTGACGAAAGCCTACACACGGTTGATGGACTGTGCTTTATACGTTTCAACATACTTTAACTCATAGACAACTAGATTTGTAACCGCTCACGATTATTTAAATATTCGTGTATTATTTGATTTCATAGTTCATTGAAATGTCTGCATAGTAGCGCAGTAACCCACAAACGTATCACATTCTACGTAGAAAGCTTTAGAGTACTTCTGTAGTATAGGGTGAATTCTGAGTAACTTGTCAATATATCTTTTAGTTTGCTCAAATATTTCAACGTAACATATTTTAATGCCACAACTTCTGTGAAGGTAAAAAGTTGCTTTTTAAAAGTAGTGAAATTCGATTTTGAGACAAACATCATACAGTAAAATGTTTTGTGCGTAAGTACTTATGTTATTTGAACGCTCTTTAGAAAATCATTAGGAAATATTTTATCTGTTTTTGCTGTGCAACCTTATTATGTTAATATACACTTAGTAATACCGTACATCTGCTGTTTTTCAAAAACTTGAATTTTATGTTACCGAGATTGCTTATATGACAGTATATGGTTATTACAGGAATTCATACTGGCTAAAATACTATATATAACGTCAACACAGTTTTAAACTATTGTTCATATACTCCGACTTCTGTTTTGTTTTTCTGCAGTATATGTGGCATTAATCTGTAAAGTTATAAGCTATTGATGTGAACCGTCTTGGTAAATTGAGATTTGTTGGTTGAGGTGTACGGGATCAACAGTTGAAGACCTTACATGGTGTGCTTCATACTCGGTCTCAGTGGTATGGGCGGATTTATGCCTTATCTCCCTCTAAGGCTTAAGCTTTATTTTTATCTCATCCCCTTTGACTTGGAAAATGTTTGAGCTGTAGCTGGGTTTTAATAATCAGTTAACTCTGTTTCAACCTGTAACCTCAACAAAGTATTTGCATTCTTTTTCAATAGTCACTTGGTTTAGCTGCTTTTATTCATTTATAGGACTTTGTTACTTCGAATAAATCAACTTCAGTTTGTTTGTTCATACATATTTGCTGAGCTCACGTTACCGCCCTCAGCATTGTTTCTAATCATTGTTCAAGATAATCCACATAAGTTCTGACATTCAGATTGTATAACCATTAACTTTGCGGATCATTTTCTAAATATACAGAGCAACTTATGCTGAGTTTTTCCATAAAAGGGATATTCATTGAGTGACTTTTTCCCTAAGATGCTCACCATACATTGCAATATTGAAGAAAATTTGTATTTATCCTTTAATAATAGGCTCTTAAAACAATAAGGAGCTTAAAAACTTCCATTATAGAAATATGGTACGAGATTGTAGTGGTAATATAAATGCAGTTCATGTGACTATCTTGAGTTTTACTATTCGCATTAGTAGATGCTTTTCGGCGGATGTATGGAGGATTAGGCTTTTCAAAACTTCATAATTAATGATCAGGGGTTTAGGAATCTGCAAATTTATTTATGTAATATAGGGTCTCTGTAACACTTCCATGCCATTTTAGCGGCTTTTATGCTTCGCGTTTACGATTAAAATAAAATAGAATTAGTTTCAAGATGGAGAAATCAGTAAATGATCCCGGGTTATAGAGTCATTATTCGTCGGGGTAATTTGTATTGTCGTTGGCTTTACGAGTTGCGTCAGTGGACTATTAAAAATCTGTAAATGAAAATTTCGGTAATACAACTGTAAAGAGAAAGAAATTAGGATATGTGTATTTACTTTTCTTTGGTTTTCCATCTTTTACCAATAAATAATCACATATGGAATCATAGAGACAAGTTAAATTTATTGAACTCATGATTCATAGTTGATACCTTACGCGTACTTTCTATGCTACACGTTAGAAATCGGACAAAAAACTACTTACTAAAATATCAGTTTCCCCGATTTTTCGGTTTGATTGTTGTCTGTTTCTAAAATGAACTCAGGATTTTAATGGTTTTAAAACGTGTAGTCTCTATGTCTGAAAAATAGTTGGAGCAGTCTGTTTATTCGGCTGCTTGATTTTTAGCTGTGTAATCAGTTTAGTCGGACTATTTCTCATATATCGTACCATGGAACTCGAATACTAAATCAGACGTAAATCTCTGTTATCTGTAAGCTAAATATTTTGACCGTTGACAAATGTTTCTGTGATAGTAATATAAAAGTTAGTAATGGTGATCCGCCTAATAAACAATTTGTGGAGGTTTATAGGGTTTGAAAATAGTTTGCATTGCAGACTAATATTATTTGGGAAACCAATTGAACAATGAAGGTAATGTGGATGCGTATCGATGATGGATAACGGTCACAACTTACCACGAACTGTATGAAGTTAGGAAGTGTGAACTACATAATTCCTAACAGTATCAGGCTAACTGCACAGCCTGAAGGTTTTTATGCTCTTTTGCTGAGTCGCGTGTGTGCACTTATATAGTGTCCTATAAACTAAGCTGAAAAAAGTCTTCATTGTTCCCTAATTTTAAATGTTTATTAGTAATCTTCATTTACACTTACCAATTTAATTGTGAATAGTGTGTAGAGGAATTTCTGCCGAAGCTATCCGCTCCGTGTAATTTATTTCAATTATCTCCATGTTTCGATATAGTCAACATAAAAATAGGTAAATTAAAATGAGATATACACAGTTTTTCCGTATATATCGAGCATCGTAAACGCAATATAGTATTTACTAAATAAAGGTTGATTCCCTAATGTAGTTCCTGTATAATTTTGTTTTCTATTCTAAGAAGTAACTGCATCATGATTTCTTCAAAAAGCAAGCATTCCAAACGAAGATCAAATTGCATCCAATTAACTGAAAAAGAAATTAACGATTTCATCGCACACAGTGATGATGAAGAGACTGATGGTAGTGAAAGTGATTGGGATGATATGGGTGAAACTGATTTGTCGACTGTACTTTCAAGTTCAACAACTATTATGAAGGGTAATACTGTTAGCCAGTTATCCAGTGAGATAGCTTCATCATCTAGTCACAAAATAACTTGTAGTGCTATCAAAGGTAAGTTTATTTTATTTGTTTAAACTAATATTTGAATAATACATGCATGCGGGGAGTGCTACATAGTTAGATAATAATATATTATGGAAATAAAGCTGTTTTATTATATCAAATTAGTTGTATTGGTCTGCCGAATTTTCATGCTCCAGTCGTATACAATAAAGACTAATATTGGATGGTGATGGAACTACTTATCTGTTCGTTAAACGTTACACTTCCAAGCAGTATACTATGCGTCCAAGTCTTGCTTTACTTACTAAAATTCAATTAATAGATTTATTTTACAGCATAATGTATTCGATGAGTTGGATCATCATGATTACTATTATTATTACTACCTTAAATCCATGGTTTGTTGTAAACTGTCGTATATTGTACTGGTTAACTTGTCGTGAAAAAATTCTTTTACTTGATACAAGTTGCATTTTGTCCTTTAAGAAAAAACGCCTATAAAGGTAAAGTAGATCCATTTTTAAATTATCAGTCGTTCATTAAAGAATTGTGTCATTCTATAGTCTATCAAGTGAAGATGCTATAGAGTTAGTTTCGTTATCACGGTTTACTTAGCTTAACATTGAATCATAAGTCAGTGTATGTATACTTCAGTACAATTAAGAGCATATCATCAATGCAGCAGAGAGATAGAACTGTTATCCGATTTTATGGTTTATCAGTTTCTGTATTTAACGTGGTTATTTGAAAAAAACCCAGTTTAGTGAAGCAGATTTTTCCTAATTGTTACTCGACTCTAATTAGATACCATTTGTAACCCTTATGTATTTGGAATTGTTGATTCAGGCTAAGTTATGTGGTACTTTCGCACTGTTCTCTGGAAAAGCACTTAACAAATTTAGATTTTCAAATATCAATTTCAGTATTAGTCTCTTACTGATGTCGCTTGCTTTATATGTTTTTACGAATTTCTTCACTTAAATTAGATATTGGTGTCAACGAGTTGTTTGGCTCGGTACCTTCCAATGTGTTATTGAATGAAAAAGAAATCAATACAAATATGCATGAACTGTTCGGTGAGGCTAATTTAAGTGACGATAGTAATAGTGATAATAGTGGTGATTTTGATATCAATCAATTGCAGGGGATCGAAGACGGTTAGTCGTTTTGCAAATGTTAATGCATAGCACTATTATTTTCTGTAAAACATTTTGATTTAAAATGATATCCATCAGAAAACCACTATTTGTTTAGCTTTGGTTCGCTTCAGGAAGAAAACCAAATCCAGTTGAAGTATGTTAACAACACTTTCCCCTCGTCCATCAGCTTAAAATTTTGATGCCCGTGTATTTTGAAAGTAGCTCGTTGTTTACTAGCTGTCGGATCGACTAACAATTAGTGAAGCGGTGGCCTAGTGGTAATGACGTTCGACTTCTGGCCGCTACTTCCCAGAACCGGACTCCGCTCCAACCACCTCAGTTAAGGCAACCGGGTAGTATCGTTAGCCGTTATACTTACTGTGTCTCATACTCAGTTAACCTGATAAATAAATCCATCGATCTTTAAAAAGATTGCTGGGAATGGCTTAAATGTATCAAGAAGCGAATTCGTGAAGGGTGTTCAACTGAGTTATGCCTTATATAGTTATGGTACTGTTTAAATATGTTTCACTCCACAACCGTATCGTAAACGAATGGATCTTGATGACCAATAATCTATCTTCCTATTTAACTATTTTTATGATGCCTTCAGCCATTAGAGAACATTATGACCGATAGCCCAACCGAAGTGCCAGTTTCCATTAGCAGAATGTTTTCTAAACCTCATAGTGGTATACTTTGCTTAGCTTTTGTACCATTACTAGCGTTCTTTTAGCATGAAAAATTGAAAAAACTTACCAAGAGTACCTGTTACTAAAATTAACAAAAATTCATGGCATTTAGTCTGTCAGCAACTTATTGGGCAAGGGGATCATAGAGGTACGCTTCTGCATTTACTTTTAATCCTATAAACTGTTAACTTTTAAAATACTAAAATGGTAATATACATCATTTTCAAAAGTTAAATCCTTTTGTAATAAATCAAGTCTGCTTATTATTCTATACATTTATTCCAGTCTTCTTTCATTGCGTAAATAGATGAAAATGATCGTGAACTTTCAGAGAATGGAGTCAGTATTCAAAAAAGTTTATCAATTAAACAACATTTAGAAAAAGACAAATTAATTGAACGTCATGTTAATAACACAATTCAACTAGATGAAGAGGTAGCAAAAAGGAATTCTGCATCATCGTCTGCTTTCAACGAAAGTAGTAATAATAATTCAGTTAGTATTGCTTTGGCAGCCTGTGCCTTACGACGTCAAAAAGCAAGTGAGTTTGAAATGATATTATTTCCTTCTTGTTGAATTTCTAATTACGTCTTGTTTTCTAATGTTTAATATATGACCATGTTTTTTCATGGAGTCTATCTTGTAAAAATAACTAAATTGCATACATCAGCCGTTCAGTAGATAGTGATTTATTTATTTATTTTATTTATTTAAACACATAAACATTGGTACAAGTAGGCACCAAATAGATGTGCGCCACATGAATCATTCGATTTGTGTGAGGGCTGGGACACCGCCCGGGTGCCCAAACAGAAGTAGGTGGTGTTCTCATGGGGTCACATCCCGAGCCTTCGACCTAAAGGTCTAATCCACAAGGTGGTGGAGCAACGTAAGGAGGAGATGCAGTCCCATGTTAGCCAGTGACCAACGATTGGTTCATACTCCATTTACTCCTCCAGGATCCTGGCGCCCATGTGCACCATTAGTATGAAATCAGGGTTTTCAAACTCCCTTAGGTAACCTCTCCGTATCTACCAACCTGGTTAAAGCGCCAGACATGAAATGGGAATTCATTTAAATTTTCAAAAAGATTAGCAAACAATAAATTTCTGTCTTTTATTTCTATATCTATTGTTAATTGTAAATTTCAATTGTTTAAACCTAATAGAAAACCGTAGTATACAATTAATTCATTTTAATTTACAAATTAGTTTGTCCTTGCCCTGTTAAATATTGTCCCGAAAAATAGATGTATAATTCTTAAAAATTATTCATCAAGGTGTATAATTAAAAAAAAAAACGATTCCACTTTATCTTGTCTTTTAATAACTCACAGCTTAAAATCATTTTTAATGGATTATTTTATATTGTTCTATCATAGGACAAAGAAACTCTACTGTACTTACATTTACTTTTAACAATGACTAAGTTTACCATATTTTTGGATATTTTTTTCCTTTTGTATTTCTTTTCCCACTGATTTTTTTAAAAATAGTTAGTTATCTTGTAATATACCATTTATTCACTTGATAATAACCAATGATTTTGATCTAGTCAATTATGTTGGTTGAAAGTTGTTATAACTTGTCGTTTGAATGCTTATTGTCTTGGCTCTTTTAATGCTACTTTTTGTATCTGGTCATCGTTGATTGTTATGTCAGAAACGCTTATCACTTATACTCGGAACGAGGGACCTCTGCAATTCCCACGACGCAAAAGTAAGAACAAAAAGACTGGTATAAGTGATGATTTATTAACCCCAAAACACGACGACGACAACAACTCTAGTAGAAAATACACTCATTTATATATTGATTGTACACCCATTTTTCATTAATAATTAGGATGAAATCACATATATGAAAAATACTTGGAGTTATAACAAATCACATACTGAGCATAGTTCATGTCAATCGAGTACAAGAATATCGCATATTGTACAGAATAAAATATCATACGGGAAAAGGGAACAAGTACTGCATTGAGTAATCATTACAGTGAATCGCAACGAAAGTAATCTTGAACAAAACTCATGATGAGTAAATCAATCGAATTTTGACTTTTCTTTCCATCATATCAAAATTGGTTAATAAAATTGTACAATATTAATATGAATTAAATAAATGGACATGGTTTTATATAGTTTTTAATATTAAATAAATTAGTAGGCATAGATATATCGACTCAGGTTTTCGACTTACTGGGCTTTATTGGGATAGATTTATTTTTATACTCCTACTGATATTAAAGAGTAGTGTGTAACATTTTTTGTTGTATATTGATGAGTTTATGTAACAAATGAGTTCCTGAAAAGAAATTGATTGTTACTCAAGGAATTCGGTTATAATATTTTTGGTTGTGGTGGTTAATGGTACACTATGTATTTCCAAAGCAGCTTAAGTTTCTTTAACCATGCTTCGCTTATGAGTCCCAGTTAGTATAAAGCTAAGTTATTAAAATTATCAAGTCAGTTAATCATTCAGTGTTTTTTAAATACATTAGCTAAATTCATTTTGTATTGTTTGTTTGAATCTTCCCATTGATATTTATGACTGCAAATGATCAATCTCCTAAATACCAACGGGAAAATCCAAACGAACAATACAATCTGAATTTAAATTTCACGCTGTTGCACAAGCTAGTGGCTATGAGGACTTAGTAGCTAAGTGAATAACGCGATGGCGTTTGAAGCGAACGGCACTGGGTTCGAGTCCTGGGGTGAACATCAAAATCTTGAATATCGTGCTTTACTGAACTTCAACTAGAAAGTTGTATTTCTCCAGTATACTACTGATTTAATACAACTACCTAATAACTTCAAGATGATTCCTCAGAATGATTCTTGCTTGCCTCCAAATGCCCTGGTACGGTCTAAAGTGAGGAGAGTCCGCTCTCCCTCTCGAAATGATCTCTCGTGGTCAAGCATATATAGCCTCTGCCAGGGAAGTCCTACTCACTGCCTTCTCGTGGCGGGGATGCTGTTTACGAAATTGAGAGGACGAAAAGCGGATGTTCAGCGCTTTAACCGGGTTTTTGGACATGGAGAGTCCACCTAGGGAAGTTAAAAAACCCTGATTCCAAAGCAACGGTGCACATGAGCTCCAGTACCTTGAGGGAACAAATGGCGTATGAACCAATCGTTGGTCACTGGCTACCATGGGACTGCATCTCCTCCTTACGTTGCTCCACTACCTTGTGGATTAGACCTTTAGGTCGAAGGTTCAGGGTGTGACCCCGTAAGAAGACGACCTACTTCGGTCTGGGCACCCGGTCAGTATCACTGCCCTCACACACCTCAAATGATGATGGCGCACATCTATTTGGTGCCTCATTGTACCAATATCTATGTGTTCAAATAATAATAATAGTAATCATGCTGTTGGTATTATCTATCTGTAATTCATATGGTCTATATGCTATTCTGTAGATACTTATCATTGTTCACCTAATTGATCTTTTTTTGTGTGCGCTATACTAATAATTCACTACTTCAGCTTCAATACTGTGAATGAAGCTACTTCTATTGTATTATTTTTCTTGCCGAGTTCAGTAGATTGTACTTTTTGATGTCGACCTAGTATCAAAGCTAATCAAAATGCATTAATTTTATCGATCACATATCAAGAAAAAAATAATTAGAATATTTTTCAATAAGTATTTGCCATTAACATAAACAATTGTAAAAATGTATTAAAGTTCTTTGAATAGTTCTCGTACAGAATGATTTACTGAAACAAAAATCCAACCTATTCGATGTTGATTTGCTTCTTATAAGATAGCACATCACCAACAGTTTTACTGTGGTTTTGTGTGATTTTCAACAACTGTCTTGACAACTACATCTCTTTCGTGTGGTTTACTATTAGTGTATTACAGTTATGAGCTGTTATGTGCAAATATAACAATGATATTTTTCTACTACATTCTTGCATATGTGTAGTTTATTACATAATCATGGTACTTATTGTAAAACTTATTAAATTATTCAGCATATTTTTGTTTGTTTTTATAGTCTCTGCACTGAACAATTCTTCATTTACTCCTAATCCTGTCGTTTCAACTAAATCCACTGCTATAACACCTGTTTCAAATAGTAACGATCAGTCAGCTTCAGTTGATAAAGATTGTTGGATTGCAATCCCTACAAAACTTAGAGTTTAGTAAGTTTCTATTGATTTTTTTGCTTTTTTTCCAGTAACTTCTAAAGTAATGGTTGTCAATACTAGGTAAATATATCAGTTTGTGTTAATAGCCACTCACATCTCTTGATTTCTTTGAACTTGAAACTGTTAGTCAATAAAACTGATTTTCAGTGCTTTTGACACTATTTATTTATTTGAACACATAAACATTAATACAACACAAAGGGGCACCAAGTTATATATGAGACACACAATAAAAATGGGGTTGTTAAGAGTTAAAGAAAGTATGATAAAAAAACGAGTTGAAATTAGTGTATAAGAATAAAAAACAATGATAATATTACTAATAATGAGAGAAGCAGTTTGGTTAAAAAAAATACAACCAGAAAGGATTCTTTTAGTTAAAGAAGCTCCTCACACAATTATGAGGGAAGTAAAAGACGGTCACAGTATGACCGTCACTGGCCTCTATTCTTAGTCATGTCTGATAACTTCTCGAGCCATTGTGTTGCACTATCTCTGGGATCCCGACTAGGGAGTCCTGTATAATCTTCTCTCCTACCACAACACCATGTCATACATGTACCACCTCTCCGTGTTTTCTAAGCAGCCCCAGGGTTGGCAAATAATACACGGTATGGAATTTTCTGGGATAACACTATATTACTTCTGAATCGTCGGAGTGATTTTAGTCGAAGTTTCACAATAGGAATAAACGATTACCCCATATTTGTTTTGTTTGATAATCACATTAGAATCTAATCATTTCCAAATTTTCTAGTTTCTTTTTATCACAGCACTGACTTTCTTCCTTAAAAAGAATCAAGTGTATACAAAAAATTGCTTTGTCTGAATTTAGTAATATTATAGTCGACTTTGTGTAACTCGAATAATAAAACTTTTTTATTCTGGGACAAATTATTATATAAATTAACAATGATACTTGTTTGTTTGTGTACTGGTCTCTAAGTCATATGTTTATGTTTGTGAAAACTAATGACGTTAATTAGTTGTTCAAAGTCAAATGCTTTAACCATTTCGACTTGACGAGATAATGAAAAGCTATAACTAATAAAAGTGTAATTATTACATCATCTGTTCTATGAACTAACAGAAGATAATACAATATTTTCAGTGTATAATTAAAATGAATATCGTAACTATAAGACATTTGTTGTATTACCGTTGATTATTAGATAAAGACAAATATGAACAGTACAGTTTAGGTTTATGAAACTGAAGAAAAAAACAGATTGAGTTAATTATTCTTTATTCATTTAACTTTCGGGATTTTATATGATATTCACTTGTAAAAATGGTAAAAAGAAAATAGTGGAATTTTAGTAGAAGGACCTGACATACATGACACTGGTCAACACCCAGTGATCAATCAATTGTAAATACATCTCAGTCTTACAGAAAGTCAGTCGCAGCCTGGATAGCCCAGTGGTAACGTCTCTAACTGTATGGCTGAGTGACACGAGATCCAATCCGTTAGAGAGCATCAGTCCCCTCAAGATTACAAGTACACATTACTGGCAAGTGCCAAGTAGCACGAAACCATAGTCCTGGGTTTCTTGTGCACTCCTTCCAAGCACCATCTTATCTCAACATAGTGCACGCAACGTTGAGTCACCTAGACTGGTGGCCACGTTGCGACTTGGCCTATAGGATTCGATTTGCACTAAGAAGGACCTCTGATATACATGACACTGATCACCACCCAGTGACCAGTCAATTGTAAAAGATGAAAATGAACATTTTTTTCTTGTTTCTTATTGATGTCAAAAAATGTTCATTTTACAAACTAGCATGTGTAATAGTTAATTTCTCTTCGACTGATTTCTTTATACACAATATATTTCTTTTCGTTTGTACGCTCACAAATTAACCAGGTATAGTAACATTTTATGGTTTGAATACTGTTTGACATAACAAATGACATCTTACAAATGTTTTCAATCTTGTAGGAAAGTGTTTATTTTAAATAATTTTTACAAGTTATTAAATTTTTTATATGAACATTACACATGTTGAAATTAGCCGAAGCTTAATTCCGCTTCCGTCCAGATTTAAAATAATCATACATTGTCAATTTAGTTAGGAACACTGACTTATTTGCTGATGATTGCACAATTAATAAGCTGTTGCTTATCGTGATGAAACATGTTTCAAATATTCATTGTCTATGTGTTTCACTTTATGTAATCTCATTCTAGTCGACCACGAATTTCCTCTGAACTTTGGTCCAGCAGAATTTCTGATCGTGAGGTTCTCACTCTACCTCAATATATTCAACGTCATCGTAACCACCAATCTGTCGGTAACGCTAAAAAGTCTTTTACCAGTGAAGCTGTTGTAGTTGGTGTCATTGGATCCAAATTGCCTCCACGTCGCTCTCGTAATGACCGCATTTATTCTGTCTGGTGTCTAAGTGACTTGGAAAATATTGGTCCTGGATCTTCATCAGGGTGTTTGAAACTGTTTTTATTTGGTAACTGTCATGAGAAATTGTGGAAAGAGCCTGAAGGTAGCGTGGTTGCTATTCTGAATCCTCGCTCACTCACCTCTGGGGAAGTAAGTGCTTATTCTAAGTGAATGGTTTTTGTAAGAACAGTACCTTTTAATTACTATTCCAGTGCGCTCGATAACCACGATTGGTTGTTGGATGATGTGACTCGGATCGTGTTAGGGCACGCTGATTGTCTATTTCTTGACCAGTCAGCTCTAGGGGATACTTGGGGCAGACTCTAGAATCTTCTTACGTAAAAATTACAAGTTTATTAACATTTTTCTTATTGTATTTCCTACTTCCATCCACCCTTGTCTAATGGTGGTCAGTGGTTCAGCGTTCGTGCGCGATGTCGTGCATGCGCGCTGCTAAGGAGTCCCATACTAGGGCAAAACGGCCGTTCCGTACTTCCAGGTTTCCAATGTTGATCTAGCTTAGATCGACTTGTAATTACGAGTGTGGAAATACTACAATCTCCATAAATCTTCATAGTTGAAACAGATTGTTTTTTGTGTTTGGATAATTAAAGATAAAACTTGTAAATTGTCTTTGACAACAATGTCGATTAATTTAATAGATCCTGACAAATATCTTACAGCATCCCAGTACAAATTGTATTTTATTATCAACAAGCTTATTCTATAGAAAAGTTATCTCACATAAACAAAAAGTATTCCGTAAGTTTAATTTGACCTGTCTTTACGAGTTTAATGAACATTTTGGTTAGTGTATCTAAGACAATGTCACTCAGTAATCACCTAAACAATAAATCAAGTACTCTTACTGAACTACAATTTTAACCAAGGAATGAGATACTTTTGAAACATTTAATATTTTGTAACCTGTTACTCTGTACTACTTTATATATGTTAAGTAGTAAGCATTTGGATTGCGATGATTTGTAGGAGAAATGTTATAGCTCGTGTTCATTCTCGAAAATTATGTAGATATTTCAACTGAATATAGAGCTTATAATTATCGTACAAAATAAAATCAAAGGTAGTCGGTAAGACTATAATTTGTGGATGAACCAATCAGATTTACGATAACAGGTTTTGAATTTTGGCGCGAAATTAATTCTTTCTTTTGGCATTATAGCTGATGTCAGTTCGTGATGAAAACTTTAAATTTAATTCCTAACCCTAACTATCAACTTTAGATATTATTCCTAATTCCTCACACTGGTTTTTGCCCCTCATTTAACCGTAGTATGTAGGTGGACGTTCTCAAGGTCTTTTTAACATCACTCACCAAACAGTTTATAAAAGGCCTGGTGTTTCTTAAAGTAAAATCCTACCGTTTTTAAATTATTGTAATTTCGCGAATTAGTGTTCCTGAACAATGACGTTTTTGTTTACTAAATAGATACATTCATTTCCCTTTCCTCAAACACTACGTGTTTGTTATGACGTTCATTGAAATAATTGTGAACATAAATACTGCTAGCTTGATATTGCAAACATTTTGATTTCTGTTGCAATACTCGAGCCTTCAGAGTATTTGAAATTGTAATTTGAATGCTGTCAGTATTTCAATAGCTGGTTGTCGAATAACACTAAACCTCAAGAATATTGTTATAAATTTGCTTTCGCTGATGTGCTTTAATATTTTGAATGTGTGTAGCTAAAAAGCGAATGTCCGACGCTTTAATCGGGTTTGTGGACACGAAGAGTTCACCTAGGGGAGTTGGAAAACCCTGATTCCAGTGGTGCACATGAGCTGCATTACTCTGAGGGGACAAATGGCGTATGAACTAATTGTTGGTCACCGGCTTAACATGGAACTGCGTCTCCTTACGATGCTCCACTACCATGTGGATCAGACCTTCAGGTCGAAGGCTCGGGTGTGACCCCGTAAGAAGACGAGCTACTTTGGTTTGGGCACGCGGTCAGTATCACAGCCCTCACACATATCAAATGAGATTTGTGTGGTGCATATGTATCTGGTGCCCCGTTGTACCAGTTTTATGTGTCCAGATAAATAAATAAGCTCAAAAGCGAGTACGTGAACTTTTGCTTGTTCATTGGTCAGAAATTGATACCTAACTCCAACATGTGAGCGAGAATAATCTGTGAAGTTGGGAAAGTCTTTTTAAAAATAAATCTAGTCATGTCACTTTTCAATTAGTTTAAATCGTGTCGACACTACAAATTAAAATTTGGTTTTTAAAAAAATCAAGAAATTATTATGCTTTCTTTCAATTCTGTTCCGTTTTATTTAAAGTTTTGTGAAAAGTTTGAAGATGTTCTAAAAATTTTCATCATGGTTCATCACTTCATGCTATGTTTCAAGTATTCTAAGAACAAACTGTTTATAACAAAGTTCCTAAACTTACACATATCATAGTAGCTTTTAAAAGTAGTACAAAATAATAAAGATAATTATCGAAACTAAGCAATATACTCAGTACGTGTATTCACAGTTAATTTATAAATACTGATGTACGGGGAAGAATTTCTTTAAGAATCAGTTACTGATTTCCTTTTTAAATTAATAAGCAGAATAACTACATACATTTACAAGAAACAAAAGTTCAATATCTTGATTTATTAAGCTTGTTTTTCCCTTCTTTTAAAAAAAAATTAACCTTAATCATTAAGTAATTGGATTGTTAACTTAGTAAATAAACAATTGGTGTCTCAATTCATTTATTACAGATTAGAATCCCTCTTTATCTACTTCACTTTAAACAACAATATATAATCACTAGTTCTCAAACTTTGTAACATTTTTTTTGTCTAAAACTTAAGGATAGTCATCTATGTAAACATGTTCATTAAATTAGATCAAATTTTAGTTGACCATTGTTTAATCTGTTTTTGTTTTCTTTCTTTTACAATTCATATTTCCAATTTAGTCATTTACAGATGATAAAGATGTTAGTATTACATTGGAATCATCATTACATGCTATGATTTTAGGTGAATCACCTGATTATGGCATTTGTAATGCAACAACAAAATCTGGTCAATCATGTTTTCATGTTATCAATAAGTAAATGGATTATGTTCTTTTCTTTATCTTTTCTGTTTAACGTTTAATTATTAATAATTTTATGAATGTTTAAACTTTGTGATTTCCTGTCAAGATTAGATTTAATGGTTACTTAATCATAAAGTAATGGTATATTTGTAAATAGAAATTTGAATTTCTCATGTTTCGTAACTTAGTGTAAGTTACCTCATCGGAGTAAATAATTAAGTTTTCTTTATTCGAAACCCAATTTTTTTAAAGTAAAATATTACAAATATATCATTATTTTATTATCAAATGACTACTGAAGGCTTAATTTATTTGAAATTAAGTGCTTCTCATTAGTTGATATATTTCGTATACAACTGTTTTAAGATACAGAGTTATATGTGAACGTTTGAATTTAATTGCTACTTGATTTTCCTGCACAGTTCATTGCAAATTCAGTAGATCTACCATTATATGTTAAGAGTTATTAGTAAATTTTAAAGTATCAACCGAAGTAATAAAGTCCTGATGATCATCAGCTGTGATACTAGTTTCAATTTTTATACTGATTAGTCAGTAATCGTAAATGTGTTATCTTGAGTGGTGTTAAAGGTTATCATTCCTTAGTTGCTCATACCATTCTCCAGCCAACTTACCTGTCATAGTAGAATCTAAAACAACAAGTTTTTCAGATAAATTAGATCTATTGGGTTCTCTAGTAGATAAGGTTGACCACTGTGTTAAAATAGCAGCTGTGGTTGGGGATTAACTATCATGTACTAAGACAATGAATTCAGATGTTTATTTAAAATTTAAGGATAAAAGTTACTAATTTTTCATGAATTTAGTACTAATTGTTGAAGGTTTTTGATGTTCTTTTAATACTTCATGTATTCTGTGTGTTTTTATTTATTTTGTATCTTCAGAAGCATTTGTCGCTTCTGTGATTTTCATGTGAAAAAAGCCTATATAGAGGCAAGTACATCTCGTCCAGGATTTGTAAGTGCAAGGTAATAAAACTTCATTATATTATAATCTCTTCGTGTAAATAACGCTTTAACTCTAACTCTTTAATGTCATACATTATATATATATAACTACAGTTTAATGGTTTGATTTATTTTATTACTTTGAATGTCACTTTTCTTAACAAGATCTAAACATTTACATCATAATACGATAACGCAGTTCATATCTCTGTAGATTCTTAAATAATGAACTGGTAGCAATAAAACCTAATGACATCATATTGTTAGGAAGTCCTTTCTTAATTCAAAATGTAGATTTTCATATTCAAACTACCCTCTACCCCTAGTTTAGTTAGATACCCAATAACAATTGGCTATCGTACTAAATGAAATCTGCCTTAAAACTAAACATAGGTTTAGACTTACATCAAACTAAGTTACGTGCATAGAATAAACTGTAAACTCTATTTAATGACTTTTAATATATCTTCAGTGGTAACAAGTTATTTAATTTTAAATGTATTTCTATTGGTTAATTCACTGTGATATTGTATTCAGTGACACTTATTCGGTTGATAAAATCTTATAATTCACAAGAATTGGCAATCAATCTCAATCTCGACGAATTCGATTGATATCTAACTGAATTACTTTTAGCTCCAATTCAATTCTTCTAGAGATCTTTGTCAAAAAAAGCTTCACACAAACTAGGACTTCTTATTCTATTCATTTACATTTCTAAGCTTCACACAAGTAAATTTATTTCCAATAACTGTCATCTGTTATTTTCATAAGATGTAAAATCTTTCTTGAAAACATAATTAACTTTATTTTTTTAATACTGATACCTTTAGTTTTTTTAAGGTTTTTTGGATTATATACCAACTTTCGTTCTAGACATCTCTTTTCATTATTTTCTTTACAATAGTTTACCAGGATTCGGTGGACAACAACGAAAATCACGATACACTGGTGATCGTCCCCCAGACACACCTGAACCAGGTGTATTTACTCTTCCCATAAATACAAATTATTTGGTTGATAACTGCTACAAACCTGTTGTGTACGTGGTAGGATAAAATTTATCATAAATAGAATTGTTGATTTTTATATTTTCCAAAAATTGTTTTTTTTGTAACACTAATCATTGAGAAATATGTTATTTCTGTATATTGCGATCTGTTACATTTGCTGTTATTTTGCTTCAACTCAAAAACATTTGCCTTTGAATGATGACGGAGAAATCAATACTTCAGTAAAGTAGTTTTTTCCAAGACAATTTCATTTCAGTTCTATTTAATTTTTTTTAAAGTTTTGTTATCTGCGTTATGCTCACTTCCTACATTTTGTTTCTGTAAACAGGATAAAATATTCATGGGGAATAAAGTAGTAGTATGTGAAAATTTAAAATTAAAAGTTTTATTGTAAAGGTATATTAATCAAAAACATAACAGAAATCAGGTCTATATCAGTAATGTTAAATGACTGTTGCGAATCGACAACAAGTGCACTAATTGTTAGTCTCCCGTGATTGTTATCAATTATCATGTAGACATCTTCCCAGTTTGATTCTCCCCACTCAGTTAATTTAGTAGTTAGATTTTATGCTTAATCGGTTGAATGCAATCAACACTATTGACTAACAATAAGTGACATTGGCTACTGACCAATAACCTATTGATTATAAATATCAAATAAAGTATATAGGAACACCAAAATGTTTGTAGATTTATTTAATTATGATAGTGAAGTCACTGGTCACTAAAACACCACCTGTGAATTGAAGAGTACAATTTAAGGTAAGTTTTTATTATAGACTGTGATCATTTACGAAATTATTAAAAACCAAGATATACTAAACGACTGTATTATCATAATGTAAGACACCAGTACAAATGCTATCCGTCTATTTGCTGTATCATGTTATCGATTTCCATAACTCTTATTTCAATAATAATCATCTACCAATGGAATTGCCCCCCTGAATGCCCTGGTACGGCCGAGAGTGGCGAGAGTCCGCTCTCCCTCTCGAAATACTCTCACACGGCCACGCGTATACAGCCTCTGCCAGGGAAGTCCTACTCATTGCCTTCTCGTGGCGGGGGTGTTGTCTACGAAAATGAGAGGACGAAAAGCGAATGTCCGGCGCTTTAACCGGATTCCAAATCAATGGTGCACATGGGCTCCAGTATCCTGCGGGAACGAATGGCGTATGAACCAATCGTTGGTCACCGGCTACCATGGGACTGCATCTCCTTACGATGCTCCACTGCCTTGTGGGTTAGACCTTTAGGTCAAAGGCTCGGGGAGTGGCCCCCTAAGATAACCACCTGCTTCGGTTTGGGCACCCGGGCAGTATCACAGCCCACACACAAATTGATGAACTCTTTATGCCTACGGAAATTACCTTTCTTGCTTTGAAAAACAAACAATTGATTCAGATTATTATCATTACAATTATTGTCATTATTAATACTGTTATTATTATTACTAGTATTATTGTCATTATTGTTATTATTATCATTATTATTATTATTTTCCACATTACTCACCCTCTTTTATACTTATACAGCGGCTCGTCTTTGGCGGAAATCCGACTGTATCTAAACGTTCTCGAGTCACTGTCCGGTTGAAAATTGTATGTTACCACCGAATACGAGGACTGAAGCAGATTTTCTGAAACCACGTGCACCATTCAAACTGGCTGCCTTCAACGTTCGCACATTTATGCAGGTCGGACAACAGATAGGGCTGGCTATGTCTTTGGAAAGTCTTAATATCGACGTGTGTTGTCTATCCGAGACCCGTATTCAAGACTCTGGCGAAGTACTACAAATTCGATCTCCATCTGTCGCTTCGAAAAGCTTGTTTTACGTGCGCTTATCCGGGGACCCTGTGGCATCTTCGTCTGGTCTTGCTGGCGTTGGTGTCGCACTAAGCGCTAGAGCTGAGGCAGCACTAGTCGATTGGATCCCCATTAACAGTCGGTTATGTGCTGTTAGATTAGAAAGTTCCATCAAAGTGAGAAGAAATCGGCGTGAGAAACGATGTCTTTTCGTCATCTCCGCCTATGCCCCGACAGATTGCAGCCCGGATGCAATCAAGGATGAGTTTTACCACCAGTTATCAGTTCTTCTCCAGAAAGTGCGTTCGACAGATATTGTAGTACTAGCCGGAGACTTGAATGCTCAGGTCGGGCGTCTAGGCACAGAAGAGAGTCGTTTAGGTGGCCGATGGGGACTCGTTGGTCGCAGGTCAGATAACGGGGACCGTCTACTGCAACTTTGCACAGACCACAACCTGTTTCTGGCTAGCACTAACTTTCGGCACAGTCATCGCCGATGTGCCACCTGGCGTCCTCCCTCTGCATCTCAAGCCTGGACTCAGATTGATCACATCGCGATCAGCTACCGCTGGCGTGGTTGTGTAAAAGACTGCCGCTCCTTTTGGAGTACCTATCTGGACTCTGACCATGCCTTGGTCTGCGCCAATCTTGCCTTACTTTTCAGTGGACAACGAAGTGAACGCCATCAACGGATTGATGTTAGCAAGCTGGTTGCAACTTCTGTTGCAAGTAAGTATCGAACCGAGCTAGCCTCTAGGCTAGCTACCACTCCACCGAAAAGTATAGATGAGCATTGGTTGCAATTGCATGACGCCATGAAAATGGCGGGAACAGTCAGTTGTGGGTTTGCGAAACGTCCCGCTTTTAAGCACTGGGTTTCTTCTGGTTCCTTACAACTCATTGAAGCCCGTCGGTCTACTCCGGGTGACCGTGAGTTTGACCATAAACGAAGGATGTTACGTAAGGAAATTGGGCAAAGCTTGCGTAAGGACCGAGAAGCCTGGTGGTCGATGCGTGCTAATGAGCTGGAAGCAGCAGCTGCATCTGGTAACTACCGGAAGCTCTTCCAGCTCATCCGAGCCACTGGCAGCAAGAAGTCTGGTGTGAGTGAAACAATCTGCGAGGATGATGGGATGCCAATCACTAACATCCATCGACGTCTTGGACGATGGGCAGAATTTTTCGAAGGGCAGTTCAACTGGCCTGCTGCTCCGGCAACATCGGTCAGACTGTCCTGCCCTCCATGGCCGGTGACGACTGATCCACCAAATGAGGAGGAAGTCCGCAAGGAACTCCAACTCTTGAAGCGTTACAAATCACCTGGCCCAGATGACTTACCTCCGGCTCTTTTTAAAGATGGTGGTGACTTTTTGACTAAGGAATTGACGACGTTGTTTACAAAGGTTTGGGAACTAGAGAGTGTACCAACGTCATGGAATGAGTCGATAGTTGTCCCTATCTTTAAAAAGGGTTCACGTCGTTCTTGTAACAACTATCGGGGGATAAGTTTACTTCCGATTGCGTCCAAGCTATTGGCTTCCGTCATTCTTCGTAGGTTGTTCAAAACCCGAGAAAGATTGACTCGCGAGGAGCAGGCTGGGTTTCGTTCTGGTCGAGGATGTATTGATCATATCTTCACCCTCCGCCAAATGTTAGAACACCGCCATACTTTTCAAAGGCCAACAATCGTAGTGTTTCTTGACATCAGGGCTGCCTTCGATTCGTTGGACAGGACTGTTCTCTGGGATTGTCTATTGAAGAAGGGTGTGCCTGAGAAGTTTATTAACATCCTGAAAGCCCTGTATAAAAACACCTCAGGCAGAGTGAGGGCATACAACCACCTCTCTCCATTGTTCCATTCGAGCAGTGGGGTTAGGCAGGGTTGCCCAATCTCACCATTCCTCTTCAACTTTGCCATCGATGACATTCTGGAAACAGCTCTGATGAATGTAAGTAATGGTGGTGTGGATCTGTTGCCTGGAGAAAGACTTCTCGACCTTGAGTATGCGGACGATATTGTCTTACTGTGCGATAATGCCCAAGGCATGCAATCCGCACTTAATCAGTTGGCAATCAGTGTCCGTAGGTATGGTATGTGCTTTGCACCTTCGAAGTGCAAAGTACTTCTACAAGACTGGCAGGATTCTAATCCTGTACTCACCCTGGACGGTGAGCAGATAGACGTAGTTGAGAAGTTCGTGTATCTGGGTAGCTGCATAAGTGCTGGTGGGGGTGTGAGTGATGAGATCAATGCACGAATAGTGAAAGCCAGAGCGGCTTATGCCAATCTGGGCCACCTTTGGCGCCTTCGTGATGTTAGTCTGGCTGTAAAAGGTCGGATCTACAACGCGTCGGTGAGAGCAGTTTTGCTCTATGCTTGTGAAACCTGGCCTCTCCGAGTTGAGGACGTTAGACGACTCTCTGTGTTCGATCATCGCTGTCTCCGAAGGATTGCTGACATTCAGTGGCAACACCATGTCAGTAATGCAGAGGTTCGGCATCGTGTGTTCGGGCACAGAGATGATAACTCAATTGGTGTCACCATCTTGAAACACCGACTTCGGTGGCTTGGACATGTTCTCCGAATGTCGTCCCAGAGAATTCCACGTCGTGCATTATTTGCCGACTCTGGGACTGGTTGGAAGAGGCGGAGAGGTGGTCAGTGCATGACATGGTGTCGTGGCATGAAAGAAAGCTGCAAAGGACTGGCTTGTGTTGGTCCTTCACGACTCCCTGGTTGGGGTCCGAGAGATGGTGCTACACAGTGGCTAGAGACGTTATCAGATATGGCTCAGAATAGAAGCCAGTGGCGATCCTGCTGTAACCTTCTTTTACTTTCTTTCTAAAAAGTGGTTGTGTCTCCTTTACCTGAAAGATTTCTTCTGATTGTACCTTTTCGTTCCGTCGTTACTACCACACTACCTTACTCCAATCTCTTCGTCATTGTTCTCTTTTTCTTTTGCGTTCCCTAGTTTTTTTTTCTCTTTCTATTTCGAATTTTCATTGTTTTGTGTGGCGCATATATATTGGCGCTCTCTTGTACCAATATTTATGTGTTCAAATAAATAAATAAATAAATAACCAATGGACTTCAAGAGGAGTCCCTGAAATTCTGAGGATAAAAGTTAAAAACTAAGTATTCCGTACAAAATACTAAATCAAGGAACTGCACAGTTATATCATCATGGTCCAGAACTCCTCACTTGTTTCAATGTAACATATTACCACTAAATCTCTAGTTTTATTTTTTAGACCTAACGTTATTATTGTTGTTTCATTCTGTCGAATAATGCATATTTTTATCATTTTCCCTCTCTCCATATTATTTTCTGTCTTTTGGATTAGATCTTCAGCCAAAGTTAAACTTAGTCTGACCAAATTAAAAGCGGCTGGTTATCAAGTAGATACATCTATTGGATTAGGTAAAAATCCAGAAATAACTAAAACATCGCAAGGATCATCATCATCCCAATCCTCTTTATCAGCGGATAATAATCAAAACTCAAATTTATCTAACAACGATATCCCATTAATTACAGGAAAGGATTCTCCAATTACTCTTAATCAAAGTAGTAAGAAGGTAACTGAAGAAAACTCAGAAAAAAACATTCCAAATCACAATGATCAAGTAACAACTGAACTTAATGAAGCAGAAAACAAACTTGTATCTGTACTACGTCGACCATCTGCTGGTTCTTTAAATTTATTGAGGCATTTAGAACAAGAAAGTGAAAATGGCACTGTCTCTGCTATATCCAAAACTGCTACTAAACGATCCGTGAATAAGTCGAATTCTGAAAAATCTCTAAACAATTCTCAAGAATCAAGCTCACGTCTAAATTCACCATCTCCTGTAACATTTGCTGAATTTTTCTCCAATATTAATGAGAAACACAAACATTCTGTATCGACACTGCCTACCAATATCAAACCTGGTCTGAGTAATACATCAGAACAATTTATAGATTTGGGTCCTGTGCCATTGACGACTAGTTCTCAGACAACATTGTCACGATCTGTGTCATCATCATTCATAAAAGATGCAGCACGTTTGCGTGCTACAGCTTTAGTAAATGCTCAAGGAGGTGTGAATAAAATGATTGAAAAGGAAACTTTGAAACGGAAAGCAAATTTTTTGAAGGTATCATCTTGTTCAAAAGCGTCGTAAGTATTTGTTCTACTTTTTTTCGTTGGTTGAATAGGATTTAATAAATCGTACATAAAAAAGTCAAAGTTTGCTTAAATCAATCGTCAAATAATAAAACATTTGATTTTTTTCGGTCTCTCAATTCGATCTTAAAAGGTGATTTTTTTCCACCAAAAAAATTTGTCATTTTGGAATCTTGAGAGAAAACCGGCTACACAAAGTTCATAGGTGTTCCTCTTTTATGAATACTAATCGAACAAGGAGTTCGAAAGTATATTCTTCCTATCTATTTATTTTGAGTACTTAATACAATATGATTAAGGGTATTTCTACTCCTGTCGTGCATCAACTCTTAAGATGACATACTTAATCATGTAATACCAAGAATATGTAATTTTAATATTTGTCTCATATACCATTAAAAATGATTAGCTTTAAATCTATGTTTAGCCTTCATGCAATTTCAGCTAGAAATGTTTTATGGTTATGTACTTAATTTTATTCATAAAAGTATTATTATGTAGAATCCGTAATCTAATCGTTTAGGCATTCATAAATCAAATATGTCCACCTGGATGTATTGAGATACTATCGGTTAGTATTAGAGCTGTTGAATAATTTTATTTATTTATTTTAACACATAGATATTGGTACAAGGAGGCACCAAATACATATGCGCCACACAAATCTCATTCGATATGTGTGAGGGCTGTGATATTGCCCGGGCGCCCAAACCGAAACAGGTGGTTTTCTTAGGGGGCCACATCCCGAGCCTTCGACCTGAAGGTCTGATCCACAAGGCAGTGGAGCATCGTAAGGAGATGCAGTTCCATGTTAAGCCGGTGACCGACAATTGGTTCATACGCCATTCGTTCCCGCAGGATACTGGAGCCCATGTGCACCATTGATTTGGAATCGGTTAAAGCGCCGGACATTCGCTTTTCTTCCTCTCATTTTTGTAAGCAACACCCCACCACGAGAAGGTAGTGAGTAGGACTTCCCTGGCAGAGGCTATATATACTTGTGGCCATGTGAGAGCATTTCGAGAGGGAGAGCGGACTCTCGCCATTCTCGGCCGTACCAGGGCATTTGGGGGTGTTGAATACTTTATGCTCATAAAATTGAATATTGATATATATTTATGTGCGATTGGAACTCCACTCCCAACTTCCTTGACTCGAACTTAACACCTTAGGGTTTCGCCCCCAAACGCGTTGATACGGCCGAGAGTGGGAAGAGTCCGCTCTCCCTCTCGAAATACTCTCACATGGCCACGCGTATATAGCCTCTGCCAGGGAAGTCCTACTCACTGCCTTCTCGTGGCAGGGTGTTGTTACAAAAATGAGAGGACGAAAAGCGAATGTCCAGCGCTTTCACCGGGTTGGTGGACATGGAGAGTCCATCTAGGGGAGTTAGAAAACCCTGATTCTAAAGCAATGGTGCACATGGGCTCCAGTATCCTGAAGGAACAAATGGCGTATGATCCAATCGTTGGTCACCGGCTACTATGGACTGCAGCTCCTTACGTTGCTTCGGTTTGGGCACCCGGGCAGTATCACAGCCCTCACACATATCAAATGAGATTTGTGTGGCGCTTATGTATTTGGTGCCTCATTGTACCAATATCTATGTGTTAACATAAAAAAAACAAATGGTGCCTCCCTAGTGCTTCGTGGTGTGTTTGTCGCCTTTAGACTATTAATTTATCACCTACTGACCCACATTTCCCATTTTTTAAGTATTTTATGAACCATTGAATCTCTTATTCAATGTCATTTGTGAACTTGAATTTTAATTTTAGATTTATTTAACTTTACTCATCACGATCGCTTACTAGGGGTGATTTGAATAATAAGATTCTATCTTCCACCTTATACATTAATTTTTCTCATGTATCTACTTTTATACAGGGTTTTATCTGAAATTCTGGATAATAATCCTTCAAAACGTGCAAAACGTATTTCAAATGATGAAACAAGTCGAAAGTTATTGAAAGAAAATCGTGCAAAAAAGTTAAGTGAATTAGCTAAACAAATTAATAAAGGTTCAGCGCATAAAAATCTAGTTGATGTACTTGAAAATCAAACTGAACAAATTCGTCTGAATAATTTAGAAAAACGTGATGAATTTGAACAGAAACTTGTAAATCAAAATAAAGAAGCATGTACATATGTAATATGTGAAACGGTAAACATTATTGAATATTTTTTATTAGTGCAACTCAAATTTACCAGGTATAAGTTTATGTATTCGTCTTTTGACTAAATATTTTTAGTTCGAAAACTATTAATACTATCTGAACTGCCTAAACTGAACTAGGTGGGATCGAACCTGTAATCTAATTATTGAAAGTCAAGTACTGTAACCACCATGATCCCACGCCTGGGATTGTAAGTGTGTTTTATACCTTATTGGAAAATATGGATTATGTCAATGAATTGAAGTTTTGTGCTTGCATGGTTGATCGTTTGGTGCCAAATTCTTATATGAATTTTGTTTGATGTTCCCCTTATTTCTTCCGTAATTTACTTGATCTATTCCAATGTGATGTAGAAACATTCCGTGTTAGTTGTCACGTCAAATTGAATTTATCCTCAGTTGATTCGCAAATTCCGTTGTACGATCGAGAGGGAGGAGGTTCCGCTCTCCCTCTCGAAATACTTTCATATGACCACGCAATATAACCGCTCCTAAAGTAGTCCTACCCACTGGCTTCTCGTGGGGGAGGTGTTGCTTACGAAATTAAGAGGACGAAAAGCGAATGTCTGGTGCATGTACCCGGTTGGTAAAGATGAAAATTTGTCCTGGTATTCAGTATATGATTTTTATCGGTCTCTGTTAATTGCTATTTTCTAGTGATCGAGCCAGTAAGTTACAATGAGTTTTATAGTTTAAACATTTGTTTTAACAGCCTGATTTCTGCTTTCTGATTGGCTCAAAAATTTTCCACAACAATCAACGTGTAGCATTGCTAAACACCATAAAACCACAGTTATATTTTTCCAATCGTCTTTAATCTTCCGTCAATTATCATGAAGTTCCACCAATCTAATTTTTTGTTCGGTCGATAAAAGCTGAGTTTCTGTAAAACTCCAGTCAAGTTATAACTTTCCACTTCCCAGTCATAACTTAACTACTCAGTTTAACAGTGTAAAAGTCATGCTCCGTAAGATTACCACCAGTATTCTACATCTCGTTTTCTTACTGAATTTCATCATCATGTTCATAGAGTGTTTGCTTCCTTATTTAATTTTGTTAAAACTATTTGTGAAGTACATACATGTTTTAAGTATCCCCAGCCGGTGCCCACCTCTAAAGACTATGCTTATTGGTGTAGCAGTAGGTAGTAAGAAAGCAGATAGCCACCATAACAAAATGTGATATCAGTCCGTCATTAACAGTTAGATGAGGTTATGTTAGGTACATAATGCATGATTGCGATCCTAGCGACTATCGTAATCATCGTTTAGAGACTTCGGGTGGTATGGCTCATAATCAGTCGCAGCGTGCAGGTTTATTCATTTTTGTATTCTCATAGGTTTTGATTTTAAAAATTATCTTATACTTTTTTATCTATCGGGTCCATTCTCTTTGAACCATATTATCTATACCTAGTCTTTCCTACTACTCCCAATGGTGTCGCTAACTCTACTACTCTGGTTTCTGTCTAGACAGTTTTATCATTCTTTACCGGTGTAGTGTAGTAACCTGAATTGATACACATATGTGCTAGGTTCTAAGTTGCGTTTGACTAACTGGCTAACGTGTAAATTATGAAAAAAGAACACTTAGGTTATTTTAGGGGAAAAATTTTCTGATTTTGAACAATATAATTTTTAATGCTCACCCTCCTCTACCTACATTTTCATGATCAAAAATATTGTTTAATTAACTACTTCTTCAAGATCCTCTAATATGATTATTCTTTTTTTCTGTTTTCAGTGTAATTATCGTGCTCTTAAAACAGCTCCTAACTGTCGTACCAGTAATCACCAAATTAAATATTTGAAGGGTTTTAAACATTATTTTCGTTGTCGTCAGTGTTCAAAACGAACTGTATCATTAGATCGTTATCCTTCAAAACCATGCCAGTGAGTTACAATAAAAATTGCTGTGGTTATTGTTCCTCTTATGTATGTGATAAAATGTTTAAAAATTTTTCCGTACGTAGTCAATTCTTCTAGATGAGTTTTGTGAATTACTCAACATCTACTCCAATAAGCCATCATTTAACCTTGACCTATTAGTTTGCACATGTTTGATCAAACCTGTTTGGTATGTTTGTGTACATCTTACGATGTGAACAATGAAATTTTTTTATGTGATTGATATTTTATCTATAATGCACAACACTCACAGAACAGTTGCTTCAGTGCAAGTATATCATTTCAATTGATACTAGGTTTTAGGTCAATATTCACTTTTCTCGGTTGATGATGTTGTGTTCTATTAGCTAGATCGTTTAATTGCGAAGCTTGCATTCAAAACTTCAGCGCCTATTTCATGTAGAAGTGAATTTTTCCAATTATTCAATAAATGTCATGTCACTTCGTTCCAGTGACCTTGTTGGTGTTTGGCTGTTCCCATGGATTTTGTTGTCTTCGTTTGTTCTTTTACTTACGTTGGGTGTTTTTATCGGTTAACTTCTGACTTTGTGTTTGATTGACCTCTTCCATATAGGTTCAAAACTTGGGTCTATATCTGTGTGGCTGTTGATCACTAATTAATCTGAATCCCATGCTTCTAGAAATTTTCTGACATTCTTAGAGTTTTCTCCATCCGTAATTTCGACGTTTATTCTATCCAATTTATGTCTATGGTTATCTGCACACATTGATATCAGTGACATTATATCATGTCGCCTCTCCGATGGATTAATTTCATTGACGGTTCAGTGTTCATTACTATTTTGAATTTTTACTTTTGTTTGTACCCACTCAATATTGCAACATCACGCAGTCACTCATAATCAACGTAGAACCTGACACATGTGCATCGTCGATCTAAGATGTCACATCATATCGGTACAACGAGATGATACTATCAAACAAACATTAGACCAGTAGAATGCAATAAGTTTATCAGTTTTAGTAAAAAACAGTAGTCATGAATAATATTATTCAAAAAGTAATAATAAATTCGCGGAATAAAAAATGTTAGATAACTCTAGAACTCAAGATCTAAGCGACGACAAAGAGAGAATGTATTTACGCCATTACAATCCATTCCGAGCCATGTTACCAAATGTCTCCAACTACATGTTGAAATAATCACGCGGATGCCAACCAGGTATTCTGAACCTTTTCCGATGAGGCTTCTTACGAATATTCGCATCAAATGGAAGCGTAATATAATCACTAATAAAAATAATATATCTGTAGAAATCTGTAGAAAAATTAAATTTTCTGACGTTTCTTCACTCACTGTAAGCCATATTTTCAGAGAATATAATCATTCCAATTAGGTGATTAATCATTCAGAAAAATGGTAAATATCGCAAAGTGTGTATGCATGTTTAAAATAATCACCAGTTACACTCAAAAATCTTGGAATTTACACTATTTTGGAATTATTTATGATTTAATGGTGATATAACAGTTTTGTTATACCAGTGATCTACATTTAGTTTGGAATAGTTCGTTTATACAAGTACTATTCAAGGCAGTAACGCCTGAGAAATAATGAATTAGAAGAATTGAAGGTATATTACAAATAATGCTGAAACTCTTTGTCAGATAATCTTAACTGTTTCTTCAACCGTAAGATGCAGTGAATATCTTTTCCAGTTTAGTATTTGAAGTAATAATATACTTTTCAGTATGGAATAAAACTATTCATAGGCACTTTTCATTCCTGATCATTTCTCCCACTTCCTTATCATTATGAATGGGATAATATTTATTTAAACAACATAGTTCTTTGTTAAAACAATATAACTGCTCTTACTTTGAATATGTTAGACTTCACTGTTTGATATAAGCCTAATTAAGAAACTATCTGTAGTGATAAATGGCGAAATATATGAAAACAAAACTCCATGAATGTCAGACAGTTATCCACCGCAGGCAACGGATGAGGAGTTGCACAAGATGATGGATTGATTGAAGTCCTACATAAGCAGCTTGGGACGCTGATCCAGTGGTCTTGAGGTTAAGCGTTCGCACCCGAAACCGTAGTTCCTGGGTTCAGTCCTCGTATCTGAGATCGTAGATCAGCATCGCTGAGGAGTCCCATAATAGGATGAAACGGCCATTCAGTGCTTCCAGGTTTTTAATAGTTGTCTAACATTAATCATTTCAACTGTGAAAATACTACAACCTCCACAAATCCCCCATACTAATAACATCCATTACTGACCAATTCACTTACTTTTTCGAACCACTGTTCGCAACATTGATTCCTTCATTGTAATTCATAGTTGATGGTTTCAGTCTCGTTATTTCTGATCATGGTTTTATCATAATCGCTCCCAAACATCTGACTTTAGGAAAATACATCGGAATTAATTATTGCATTGTCTTTCTTTACTAGTAAATTCAAATCAACTCTGTAAACAACAATTCATGATCACTTATTTTCCATTAATTAATTTTTTTACCGGTGAGTATGAAGACACTAATTTTCCTCGTTGTCACTATTCTTACTAACAACGTACTCATTGTTTTACTTCTCAACGTTTATTTGTGTTAGTGATACCTACTTCTCTTAATCAGCATTCATTATTCTACTAGAAAGAAAATTGCGTCATCCGTTGAACTATATGAGTACTTAATTAACTTAATCGTTTACATTGTGCTACCCAAATCTCTCTAGCCTTCAAGTTTTCTCATCTTGTTTCCTAATGTTATCTGAAAGAATATATTTCTATATATATGCTTCAAACACTATATGACCACATTGCTTACATTTTCATGGAATTTCTATTTCGTTTAGACATTGTGGTGAATCTTTGTTTGAAAAAACTGGAATAATGAAGGTAAGCAATTATTTAAAAATATATAGTCAACGTGTTTTCTGTTACTAATTAGCTAATATTCACTTTATGACTATTAGACTATCTCAAGACATTTCGGTAAAAATATTTCATAGTCTCCTAAACTGACCTTGACAAAGCAAAGTCGATTTCGACCAGTCAGAATGCGGGTGACATACGTGAATTATACATTACATGCAAACTCGTCTTCACCTCGTGACTCTGCACCTTTTCTGGATTTCATTTGGTGACCACGATCATACATAATATCATTTCCTAACAATCTTATGTTTCGTATATGCTGTATCATAACGTCGTTATTAAAATTGTCAATTGAACTATCTATAGTCAACATTGTGGTTCAAATTCATTCGTTGTGACATTGCATTCACGACCTGAAATCTGATTGATTCGTTTGTAGAATATTCTTTAGCAATAGATCTTCCCTCTTTTTGTGACAGGTTGTATTAATTTAGAAACTTTTTCAATATCGCATCAATTATAGCGAGTTTGTGTTACATAATATTATTTGATTCTACTGCATCAAATGACAATCACACTTAAGTAAAACATTCGCACAAAGTCAAAAGATGTTTACTATGCCATTCAATAATTAATGTGTGTAATCATTGTGGAATCCTAATGTTTTCAAGTTTTCCAACTATTTGATACACAACTTCCTGTAAAATGTTCCAGGTAAAGTGGTATATTTAAAGGATGGGAATTTACAGTTGAATATTCTGAATAATATATAGATCACAAATAAATTTAAAATTTCAAACCAGAACTAGATGATACATACTATTGGTTTAAATGACCCTCTGTTCTACCGATATAATATTGCATTAAATGACCTCTCAATATGATGGAGAAGATTTGTAGTTCAGGTGAATGATTTTGATGGAGTTTTGTTTTCTGAGCTGGATGGTTTGGTCGTGGAGCTTTCATCGTTCTTCTGAACGTCATCATCGGCACAAACTCCAGATGCTGATGTGTTGATAATGTCGTTTAGAAGAACGATGAAAGCTCCACGAGAACAAAACTCCATCAAAAAACCTTTCAATATCCATTATAATTATCTGATTTCTTACTTTTGATCGGCATCAAAGGCGATGGATTCATTTATGTGTTAATGACAGTTAATATTAATAGTTATTCAAAATAATATTGTTTCGTACTCTAAACACTGTCATTTAGAACCATAATCTATTTAAATTCATGTTGTTTTGTAACTATGAATAACAGTGCTCAGTTGTTTTATTTCGCAATCTTTTTTAAAAAATTTTATTTTACATTTTAAAGGAACGTAAAGGTGTATTATTACCCCATGAACAACTTTTACCTCGAGGTATTGAAGAGAAATTTCTTAGCTAATTTCTTTTTTCATATTAACATTACTACTGTAGACAATAGTTGTGTAACATTTTCCATAGATATTGCATTTATTTAAACTTTTTATGTTACTATTCAAGAATAATGTGTAACTAGATGTGATTTCAAATTTGTTTTTATTATATGTGAGGCATTCCATGTTTTTGTAAATCCTTCTATTGATATTTTATTCCATCGGTTCTCTAATGTGATCTCAGATTTTGTAGAGCATAATGTCTATTTTGTTTTAACAGTATGGTATAAAATATATAAAGATTTGAAATAATTTGTAGTCATTAATATTTTTGCTTAAAACTTATGAACAATGCAGATCTATGTAAGTAGTCTTATAACTGGTAACGTTATTCATAATCGAACGAAAGAAAACCACTCAATCAATAAGAAAATTAGAGAAAGCTTAAGGAATATTGTTTTCTTTTCGGCTGAATTGTATTGATTAATTCAGTTCTAGATCCTGTACTGAATAGTTAAATGTTTAAAAAGGAACCCAGTTTAACGAATAAAATGTATTTTAGAGTAATTTTGATTTATTAAATCGATATAATTGTGAGGTAGTAACTCACTGATGACAATGGTGGAGGTGTCGCTCAATTTCGTGGATTAGTTGAAGTTAGACATTAACACTGTTGGATCCCGGCTCAGTGGCCTAGTTGGTTAAGCGCCTGGCGCGAGACTGATAGGTCCTGGGTTCGAATCCCGCGAGGCGGGGTCGTGGATGCGCACCGCTGAGGAGTCCCACAATAGGACGAAACGGCCTTCCAGTGCTTCCAGGTTTTCCATGGTGGTCTAGTTTCAATTGACTCATGATCTCAACTGTTTAAATTACTACAATCTCCACAAAACCCCTTCCGATATAATTGTATTTGTATTTACTTAATAAATATCAGGTTATAGCAAAATAGAAAGATGTAGGGTTATTAGCAAAAACATTTAAGTACAATATAAATTATTTGACTGTATTCAATAAAAATCAGTAAGACGAAGACATATTATAGATAAGTAGTTCATTCACTTAGTAGGCAACTATTTCTATATCTAATCTCTAAGCTGTCTTGACTTAACTGTTCTCCATCACTGAATGAACTGTTACTGAGATTTCGGATCTTCTTGTAAATAACACAACACCTACCTAATTATAGTTGAGTGTATGTCAAATTTCTAGGTTTAAGTTTCTTGGGATTCTGAACTCCTAGCATCACGGAATGTTTTGTGTTTTTTATATATAAATCATGACGGACCAGCCAACTACCCATAAATTAAAAATATGACCGTTTGGTTACAATGGTCGTAGTACACAATCTGAAACGTTTCAGGACAAACTATACAGTCCGGTTTGTACCTAATAGAATTGTTACAGTCAAGTGGTAAAAAAAAATAGAGTTTGCAAGAAAGCAGAAAATGGTACTCTGTACTCCGTAGGATTGGTACTGTTGAACTACAATGTGTTAGTTAGATAAATGACTAAGGAATAAAAACCGGTTACCAATCAAAGGGAAAATAGTTTTCCTGCGAATCATTGGCCAATCCCCTATCTTCCGTAATATTATTACTCTGTAACAGCTTAGGGTATTTGACTAGCTTACTGTTTCCCTTTTTTAGCAGAACTCTTCTAGTAGAAGAGATAAGGTTTTATTAGTAGATTAAGACTGCAAGAAGCTACATGCATGGCGTAAGCGTCTAGAAAATGTGATGAACCGCCATCATGGCATGGATAATTCAATAAACAAAGAGCAAATAACACGATCAGTCGATATTTTGATTTTACTCATTAATATTAGTAGTGGCTTAGTACTGTGAAAAAAACCCGTAATTCCTGGGCGTGGAATTTAAAATGTGTACTTAACCTAAATCTGTCTACGAATATCCTCTGCACATAGATGTTTCACTCAAATAGTCTATGTTGAGACGAAAAAAGGAGTCATTTCTCCAAAAATGAACTTTTCACCGTAATTCACACCAAGTTCGCCTTTGTTTCTTCATTCTTGTTTGATCGTATTGTAACTCTGTCCACAATAAATATATTAATTCAATCAAGTGAATGGTCAGAAATTTTAATAGCGATACACGATTTTAACAAACATGATTTTTGTATCCTAGGGACTGAATCATTCGGCCAAGCAGTAGCGTTTATTGCCCCGGTATCTGACTGCAATTTCATATTATGATTGCTATCGAAAAAGACATCCGGCTACCCTTGTATATAATTATCGACTCCACTCGCGTTAGTGAATAACGCAGTTAAGGAAGTCAAATAAGAGAATGGATTTCTAATACGTATATTCCATACAATCTTTGATGCAGACAGACGACCAGAAAAAAGAATCGTCGAAGGTATGTGAACCGACTCAACTTAATCAAGCATGAGTCGATATTTATAGGCAATAAAAATAAGTTACAGATTCATGATGAACAGGGCAAATAGTTGACACATACGATCACGTAAAAGCAGCCAGGGTTGATAATTGACAGGGTCAAAATATAGCTTGAGAGGAATGAATAAATTAGTCTGTTCAGAAACTAGAATAACCCATGTGGGCTTGACATAGTGCCAACCTCAACAAGTGACCAACAGTACAGTTACTCAACATGTCGCTCACTGAAATCCAGTAATTAAGTTAGTAAGAAACTTTAGTAGCAAGGGAAAGACAAAAACTAAAATCATGGGTAACATGACTCATACAAACCAAGAAATATAGTGGTCATAAAAAAATGAGGTCACCAGATTGTTGGCTTTATATTTAAGGAGTGACGAGTTATCGTGACATGAGACGTATGCGTAAAAGGATTTCCGCATATATTCAAAAAAAGCATGGAAAACAGATCTTAGAATGGCCAAGTATATATTATCACTGGAATTTTTCCACAAAATCCGAAAAAATGAAGCGAGATATGGTGAAACTATAATATATTAATGAGTCGATCAGAAGCGTTTGATGGATTTCAAGGTCACAGCGCCAACTTCAGTACTTAATGCTAACATACGGTCAATTCGGCACGGGAAACAAGATTATCTAGTTCGTGCTGAATGTTACTAGTGTTGGTCAAATCGAGTAACCAATCGACAGACAAGCTAGAATACTCTGATTAACAATGAAGAGTAGGAATTTCAGATAGTTCGTTCCTTCCCGATTTATCAACTAAAGAAGAGAAGGCTGACGAGCGCCAAAATAGCTCATATGACAAATATAATCTTTATAAATTGCTGACACTCCGTGCTCGAGCGAATAATTTGGTGAGACCATAATTTATGGACGACCTTTGAACGAATATTAAGTGATCTTGAGAAATATTAGCCAATCAGCAAGCAGTCAGTATAGAGTGAAAATATATTATTCAAAACCAAAGAAATAAAGTGGATAAACTTCTTTTACATGGTTCAAAAACTTGTCAAGGCTAGAAAGGGGTTCAGAGGTTCTAAAATCGTAATGCATTCAGTAGAGGAAATCATCCACATGGCTACAGAATAGTCGGCCTCTGGAGCCATGATAAGGTCTCAAAACTCTTTCAGCCTCGGCTACATAGCTTCAATAATGTTCGTGTGCACTCCATTTACTTGTGAATAACGACACGATACACATAACCAAGTCTGTGTAGGAGTCTGTACGCTCTCCGATCATTCGAATATATTGTAGTAACTAGCTGCAGCCAGTGTTACTGGTGCTTTTATTATCAATTTCGTAATAATTGTCATAAATTGCCTTAGTTAGGAATTATATATGGAGTTTTCATCAAGAACTGACATCAGCTATAATACAAAGCTCTATTTTGCCAATCGGATGAAAGATTTTCGCGCCGAAATCTGAGATCTGTTATTTTATACATAATTAGTTCGTCCGCAAATTATAGCCTAGACGTTTTATTTGTCATAGGTGCTCAATTACCACGTTTTGTATAAAATCCTCTGTGAGTCGATGGCACGGGAACAACGGTAGACTTCTTCAAATCCGCCCGCCGTTTCGTTTCGACGACCTTGAACAGCCCGACTAGAGGCGGTACCACGGGCACTGGGGTGAGCCAGGGGTTTTCGCGCACATGTTACATGGATTTTTTGTGCCGTTATTTGTCAGCTATTAACAAACTTTTTCCCATCACACGTCGATTTTCGTAATTTTTGTGCTTGTTACATAGTTTTCATTCAAGTTTATTAGCAGTTTGACGTATTTGTTGCTATAGCACCACCTAAGTGAATCTTTAGTAAGCCTAATATTGTTATTTGTAACAACACAAGCTCAAGCAAGTACAATTCACCATTAACAAGTCGATAAATGGATCAGAAATTGAGTTTTCAGGAAAATAAGCTTTAAAACCTGTTACATCTGGTTCACCTCCTTGATTATGGTGATGATGAACATGGATGTTGGTAATTGTTTATAAAATGTAGGTTGAAGCAATTAAGCGTTAAACTATTTATGAATATTATATAACTTGCTAATATATAGCCATAAACAGTTATATCCATTATAAGTATCATCGTTTTGTACTGAAGTGACGTATTATCATGTAACTTATCTGAGAAGAATTATATGAGTAACAACTGACGTTTATAGTCTTTTCCATCCGCTTTCTGAAAGTATACAGGAACAGTGTACAACACCACTGGAAGTGCCAAATTAAGTAGTCACAAAGTCTTTATAAGTAAAACGATGCGTGTTCTTTTTTGACAGTGACAAAAACATGTCGTATTTAATACTGATTTATGATGTGTCTGTTATAGGGTTCACGAGTAAGTTTCTGTAAACGGAATCCACAATCGTTGACCAAATTATGAACAAAGTTATAATGCATGTTGTCTAGCAATATCTAAATGGTGCTTACCAATTTTTTTGTTAATACCAAATGTCTAAGTGAAATACTAGAAGGGTTAAAAAATGAAAAGAGCTGTTTGCATGAAATAAGGAAAATTATAGGTTATTTGTAACCTGCTATTGAAGTCATAAATACACTGAAATCAGAGTTTTAAGGCAATATTAGCTGTGAAGCCATTAACATTTCATTTACATCATAAACTTGGTATAAACAAATGTCATAGGACTGTGGAGCGTTCACAGTTATTTGTTGGGGATTTGAAACTCCTTGATGCGACACAACCCTAGAATCTAATAACAGCTGTTAATGAGTTAATTCTTGAATTCCTTTTCCATTACAGACTGACTTGGCATAAATCCAAAGTAATTCATGCAAAATACGTGACGAAAAGTGAACGAGCAATCGGAGCTAAATCACAAATTTATAGCACTCATATCTCCTTTGTGTCACATTAATTAGTCACATTTTCCTCATGAGTCGGACGATGCTTGTATGTTGTGATGATAGTAGCTACAGCAATTTGCAAATAACACTAATTTGTGATGTGTCTGTTCTAAAGATTACCAATGAATCTCTACTAACGGAAGCCAAAATCCCTAATGAATAGCACTGTTTGAAAATAAGAGACTTATAGGTAAATTCTGTTACCTGCTATTTGATTAACTTATTGAATGTGATACTGATAACAAAGTTTAATTGTTTTTTTCAAGACTGATTAGTTGTTTTTCAGACTAGTATGAAGCTTATGGAATTTATGATAATAGTTATTATAATTTAACATTGAGGTAGAAAATAGTACGAAACAATTGACATAATAGAAAGCAAAGAATTGGAATGACCTAGGTTATCAATAATAACTATATATATATGATTGAACAGGTCAAAGGCTATTTGTTGTTAGACTTAAGGAAACCCTAAGGATTGGTGGTGTAATAGTTGAGTGGAGTTTAGAAGCAGATAAGATAAATTGTGTGATAATCCTAGAGGTAACTAATAAATCATTGAATTAAAAACTAATAAGATAATTGAATACAATTTGAAGAGTTCACATAATTTAAGAGGATAAAGTTAGCAAATAAGTATGAGTGGAAGAGTGGTTTAAGGATTACACAACCCATCTTATCAGGGAACTAACTGCATGAAATTGTCTAGTTCGGTACCAATACTAATTTGATAATAGATGTAGTCCGACAGCTGAAAGTATGTCAGGTGGTTGCCTAATCTGTAAGGTTTTACGTGGAATTCGCATTACTGTTCTAAGTGACTCGTTGATTTGTCACTATTAACAATGATATAATGCTAAGTCCTAACGACACTTTAAAACTAATGCAGTAGTACAGGTTCTTAATTTCCACACACAGTTATTCGTTAAAACTATTGGTATACCTCCCCATGAAAGTTTGAAGAAGACAAAAATAAAAATTGCGTAAAAGTTTATTGATTTGTCATGACTACTAAAGTAGAAAGATAAGTTCACAAGTTGTATGTATAGTGAAGTCAAAAATAAAGCCGTAAAGAATTGTTTATCGTGAACATGCTGTCTAGTTGTTGATAATTCTTAAGTAAAAATTGTAGACATTCCTCTCCACCTGTCTCGAGAATCGTTCAGCATATTTCTCAAAAAATCGTTGTTTGCACATTCTTTGGAGCTGCTGAATTTGTATATATTCTTCACTCCGTCACGGTAGTGAAATTGTTGTGTTGTTTTGTAAGTTGTGCGTATTGTCTAACTTTCCTCTAGAACAATGCCTAAGAATTTGATGAGCTATATGGTTTATACTTCGTAAGTGATTAAGCTTACCTGTAAGAGTTCGTCTTCTAACATATGCCTGTAGCAGATGGCGGCAAGGATACTGTAGCGGTAAATATATCCCCAAAATAACTAGCTCTGTATGTCTCCGACATTGGATGCTGACCACATTAGTTTTAATGGACTCACCTAGTTGAAGGCGCTCGGTCATGCATCCGCACCAGATTACGAGTAGGAACTCCGTGCTCAACAATCCCTGCAATCGCTAACCCGCCTAGCTCAGACGACCCTCGATATATTAATAACCTATCAAATATATCTTCGAACCTCTTGCTTCTATCTTTTGATCTCAATAAGTGATTACGATTCTTATTAGATGGTGTTACTGGTTAAAGCGTTGTCAAACTCCGAATACCTTTGGCATCTTCAATACCTTTCAACCGTTTCTGCGGTTACCAATCGACTTAGGTACGTTCTCAATACTTTGTTGTGTCTTCCATACTTTATGGAAATCCTTTAGCGCACTATCGAATTCAATCCAGCTTCTGAATCGCTTGTTCAGTATGATACGTTGAAACGCCTCGCTTACTTCCACTGAAATTTCACTTGAGCATGAAGCAGTACAGACAACACACAGCAATTATTAGAAAAAGTTATTCCTTAAAAAAACTAGCTGAAACGAGTACAACAAATATTTTGTTTAACAGCTATTTACAAAGACTGCGTATTTATAACTTTTAAGGTTACCTTATCTTTCTTACGTTGTTTTCTGAACCTTATCAACAAATTATATGCAGGTGTTGACGCTTACTACAGCAGTTGAGATCACAGATCCAGTTACGAAACAACAACAGAGCAAACGTGTACACTACAAAACAGAGAAAACAAAATAATGCTTTTGACAGGCCTTTTGTGCTTTTTCATGCAGCAACCCAGACAACCCAAAAAGCGGAAATAAAGGCGAAGAAAGGGGAAATAAAGGGGTAAATGCTTCGGTAGCGAAAGGGGAAATAAAGGGGAAAACGCATCAGAATTTCGCCTGTCCGGGGGAAATAATGCGGATTTTCCCCTTTTTCGCGTTTTTGTCGACAAATTACCGACTTATCGCCTAAATATCCGCCGAATTGCCGCATTTTCGCCTAAATATCCGCCGAATTGCCGCATTTTCGCCTAAATATCCGCCGAATTGTCGCATTTTCGCCTAAATATCCGCCGAATTGCCTACTTATGCGCTTAATTGTCTACTTTTCGCCTAAATACACACATTACCTCCTATTGTCTATCCATCGACAGAACCTTAAAGGTCTCCTATGTCCGCCTTTATTTGCAACAACATACCGAAGTATATCTGCAATGCAGTGGAAAAGCAGTAAATATTTTAAAAATTTTATTTAAAAAGAAAAGCGTATTATTGTACAACAGTAAAGCACAAGCTTAAGCATCGATTGTTATGCATATCCAATGCAATTGCTAATTCATTGTTATTTGTAATTATCTGAAAAACAAGGAACAGGTTATATTTTATTCATAGGGAATGTGCATTTAATCAAAAGTTCACTGAAACTCAGACACACATTCTCAACACTTCAACAGTTTCCCATGTAAGTAAAAGAGTAAGCTGTTTGAAAGAATAATGTTTATTGAAATCGAGGTAGAACAACAAAAAAATTGCACGGACTATTCAGAATTGAGGTAGTCCTCCTGTGAATTCTGAAATAAAAAAACGAACAAAAAAAATCACAACCATATCTCAATGACATGCTTTTGCACAGCTAAATACTTGAAGCTGAACTTACGGTTATGTTCGTTAGTATTGTTGACTGTAACTATAGAGCCGTAGGGAAGTTATCACTTTAAATTAGTACATACCGGATTTTCTTTTTTTCTATTTCGTTTAATCATCTTGTCTCGGATGTCGTGAAAGTAACCTTGTGTCGCTATGTCGTACAGCTTACCAAGGTCTTTCTCGTTGACAGAGGATGACAAAAGGCATTTCTGTAGTGCTCGTTTTGAAGAGGTGCCAAGTAACGTGAATTTACTGGCAACCTCCGGTGTCAGCAGATGCGACAGAACAAAACGCATGGACGTTTTTGGATCGTCACCTGATAACCTAGTGACCATTGCCATCTGTAATAGTAACAAATTATCAAATTCATGTAAATGACTTACAAATCTGTCCCTGGTTTCTTTCTGCGACAAACCAGTATCTAGCATCTGTAGTTCCTCTTCAGATGACAAAGGGAACTGCTGACTTGACAGTCCGCAATCGAATTGATGCGGTCTTTCGCGCTCATTAGACTTTGAAAGCAATTGGTTAACATTAACATTCAAGTCCATAATGGCGGACGACATGTTGTTAATCGTTTTAGTCAAGTCATTGATAGCTGACGACATCTTCAGCACCACAGTATACAATCTATCACAGGTGAAAAAGGTAACTAGATGATGTAGGTTACTTACTGGTCCAATACAGTGCCACCAACAGGCTTACATTGCGATGTGGATGGTGATATCTCTAATTGTGTTGAACTAAATAGTGAATATCTAAATAGTAATTAAACGTACTTGGCGATTGGCGATATCACTTTGTCGAAAACACGGAATTTTGGATATTGTACGCGGCTATTCCCAGCCTGCATTTCAGCCACATCCATGTCAACTGAATTGTAAAGAAAATCTTCTTTACGCTTCATTAAACCTCTAGGAAATGTAAGTAAGATTATTGTACAGACCTCTTTGGCTTCTCAGTGTTCAGTGGCAAAGTGTTTTCATCCGTAGAGGTGTTTTTCCGTTGACATTCCAGTACCTGTAGGGCAACTAACAGGTCTTTTGCTGACTGCAGAGAATCTATAGTGAATTATACTTTCTGTGTATGTAGCCTACCTAATTCGTGAATCACTTTACATTTCATAAGCGACCAATTTTCATTCGGTTGGTCGCACTTCTGCAGGTGTATTTCGACCAGCTCGTTCGGAAGAAGGCAAAGGTCATTGCCAACTATCCAGTCCTTTGATGCTATCATAAGTTGTTTTTTCTGTAGGACGTCAACAATAACGTATTTCTTGTTAGTGGGCTGAAAAGAACATAAGACGTAAGTAAATGATTTATCATCATTACTTAAACACTAATGAAACAAAATGCATTTACAATAAAGTATGCAACAATGGGATTACAACTATATAATTGATACAATTTATGGCTATACATTTACAATCAATGTCCTGAACCGATACCCAGGAGTATTCGTGGCTAACTACGGAGCACATAAAGATTCCAATATCACTAGATGGGAAAGGATCTTCAAAGTAATTGCGTGGGTCAGTGAAAGTCCTAAATTTTAGTAGTCCATCCTCCTTTATATCAGTGACTAAACCTGGCTGGCCGTTAACTACTACTACATTATCAGGCTGGCATGAAGTTATTTTACTGTTGTTAAACATAATTACTTGTTTAGTGGAGACATCATTATGGCCTATTGCGGTAGTATTTGTTAAACCACTAATTTGAAGCCTATCGCTGAAGGACATTCTCTCAGCATAACGCTGTGCTGCTTGCTTAGCTACTGCAAACCCACTACGCACGGAATCCTTAATTTTTCTCATATAAGACTCGAATGGAAAGGCTGAAAAACTATCTAAAGGTCCATGTGCACGAACGTCGTCAGGGAGGTGCTGTAACGAATGCACATTGTAGACTAAGTTTTCACACCCATAACACCATTCGTATTCATTCAGGAAGTTTACTAAATCTATTTTGGCGGTTTCTACAACACTTTTATGTAATTGTGGATGTGCAAGCAGATACATGGATAACGCTAAACGCCGAAAATTAAGATAAAAAGGTTGTGGCAATGTTTTTTCAAGAATCACCGGGCCTAAATACAGAAGGAACAATCTACATTCAGAAGCTTTCCATGCCGATACAAAGTCTAGTGTGCGGCATTTAAAGCTTTAATGAAAAAATATCACTTTCCTTCGGTCAGTGAGTTTGCTAATGAAAGCACCGTAAAAGGTAACTGAGTTTAACAATGTTGTTTACTTAATTGATAGAAGTAAAGAGAGAAGTCAGTTGTAATGAAAGTACTTCGATTAGTACACCGTCCACTAGCAACATCAATCAAAGGCTTCCAGCTAATAGTGGTATAAACATTAAATTCGTACGTGAATATATATCTTATAGGATGTACTGAAGTGAACTTGTGCTCTACAAAGTTCGTGAATCGCAAAGAACAGATGAACGACTTTATGATGTATCTAATGTCAAATACATCTCTGAGCATAAAAGATGCTGATCGGGTTCTGTATGGTCTAAGATTTCTTATCCCGGACATACCGAAAAGCATCAGAGGCGTTTTGAAGACATGTCCAAGTGTTCAACCCAAGTTCATCGGCAGTGGGGTTTACTACCATCTAGGATTGAAAACCAATCTGCTAAGATACGTTGAGCTTTGGTTGTGTACTATTGATTTTGACTCTTTAAAGTTATATGTCAATATAGATGGACTTTCTATGTCTAGAAGCTCCAATCAACAGTTATGGCCTATACTTGGACGGATCATTGCCCCTCGGCTTAGTGACGTGTTCATGATAGGGATCTACGGAGGGAATAGTAAGCCGGCAGAATTCAACGAATTTTCTGCGGACACAATTTCTGAAATAAAAGAAATGACTGACGTGGGTCTTTTTAGTGTTAAGTTTAATAAATGTATAGCTATTAGGTTGGCGGCTGTTATATGTGACGCACCTGCTCGTTCTTCTGTTAGGTACACGGTGAATCATAACGGTAAGGCAGGTTGCGATAGGTGTACTGTTCCTGGGAGACGACTGGAGGGTAAGATGACCTTTCCAAATGGGGTATATACTGTAAGAACAGACGACACCTTCCGTCGTCAGACTCAGCCAACTCACCATCAAGGACATTCTATAATGGAAACGCTTTCTATTAATATGATTGTAACTTTTCCTCTAGATCCTATGCACATGGTGTACCTTGGTGTTACCAAAAAACTAGCTAATTTATGGATAGATTTAGCACGCCGAAGACTGCGGAACTTTAACTCATGTGCAATTCGGGACATAAATAATTTAATATCCGTTGTGTGGCAAGTACTCCTGACTTTCCCCGTAAATGCCGCACACTAGACTTTGTATCGGCATGGAAAGCTTCTGAATGTAGATTGTTCCTTCTGTATTTAGGCCCGGTGATTCTTGAAAAAACATTGCCACAACCTTTTTATCTTAATTTTCGGCGTTTAGCGTTATCCATGTATCTGCTTGCACATCCACAATTACATAAAAGTGTTGTAGAAACCGCCAAAATAGATTTACTAAACTTCCTGAATGAATACGAATGGTGTTATGGGTGTGAAAACTTAGTTTACAATGTGCATTCGTTACAGCACCTCCCTGACGACGTTCGTGCACATGGACCTTTAGATAGTTTTTCAGCCTTTCCATTCGAGTCTTATATGAGAAAAATTAAGGATTCCGTGCGTAGTGGGTTTGCAGTAGCTAAGCAAGCAGCACAGCGTTATGCTGAGAGAATGTCCTTCAGCGATAGGCTTCAAATTAGTGGTTTAACAAATACTACCGCAATAGGCCATAATGATGTCTCCACTAAACAAGTAATTATGTTTAACAACAGTAAAATAACTTCATGTCAGCCTGATAATGTAGTAGTAGTGAACGGCCAGCCAGGTTTAGTCACTGATATAAAGGAGGATGGACTACTAAAATTTAGGACTTTCACTGACCCACGCAATTACTTTGAAGATCCTTTCCCATCTAGTGATATTGGAATCTTTATGTGCTCCGTAGTTAGCCACGAATACTCCTGGGTATCGGTTCAGGACATTGATTGTAAATGTATAGCCATAAATTGTATCAATTATATAGTTGTAATCCCATTGTTGCATACTTTATTGTAAATGCATTTTGTTTCATTAGTGTTTAAGTAATGATGATAAATCATTTACTTACGTCTTATGTTCTTTTCAGCCCACTAACAAGAAATACGTTATTGTTGACGTCCTACAGAAAAAACAACTTATGATAGCATCAAAGGACTGGATAGTTGGCAATGACCTTTGCCTTCTTCCGAACGAGCTGGTCGAAATACACCTGCAGAAGTGCGACCAACCGAATGAAAATTGGTCGCTTATGAAATGTAAAGTGATTCACGAATTAGGTAGGCTACATACACAGAAAGTATAATTCACTATAGATTCTCTGCAGTCGGCAAAAGACCTGTTAGTTGCCCTACAGGTACTGGAATGTCAACGGAAAAACACCTCTACGGATGAAAACACTTTGCCACTGAACACTGAGAAGCCAAAGAGGTCTGTACAATAATCTTACTTACATTTCCTAGAGGTTTAATGAAGCGTAAAGAAGATTTTCTTTACAATTCAGTTGACATGGATGTGGCTGAAATGCAGGCTGGGAATAGCCGCGTACAATATCCAAAATTCCGTGTTTTCGACAAAGTGATATCGCCAATCGCCAAGTACGTTTAATTACTATTTAGATATTCACTATTTAGTTCAACACAATTAGAGATATCACCATCCACATCGCAATGTAAGCCTGTTGGTGGCACTGTATTGGACCAGTAAGTAACCTACATCATCTAGTTACCTTTTTCACCTGTGATAGATTGTATACTGTGGTGCTGAAGATGTCGTCAGCTATCAATGACTTGACTAAAACGATTAACAACATGTCGTCCGCCATTATGGACTTGAATGTTAATGTTAACCAATTGCTTTCAAAGTCTAATGAGCGCGAAAGACCGCATCAATTCGATTGCGGACTGTCAAGTCAGCAGTTCCCTTTGTCATCTGAAGAGGAACTACAGATGCTAGATACTGGTTTGTCGCAGAAAGAAACCAGGGACAGATTTGTAAGTCATTTACATGAATTTGATAATTTGTTACTATTACAGATGGCAATGGTCACTAGGTTATCAGGTGACGATCCAAAAACGTCCATGCGTTTTGTTCTGTCGCATCTGCTGACACCGGAGGTTGCCAGTAAATTCACGTTACTTGGCACCTCTTCAAAACGAGCACTACAGAAATGCCTTTTGTCATCCTCTGTCAACGAGAAAGACCTTGGTAAGCTGTACGACATAGCGACACAAGGTTACTTTCACGACATCCGAGACAAGATGATTAAACGAAATAGAAAAAAAGAAAATCCGGTATGTACTAATTTAAAGTGATAACTTCCCTACGGCTCTATAGTTACAGTCAACAATACTAACGAACATAACCGTAAGTTCAGCTTCAAGTATTTAGCTGTGCAAAAGCATGTCATTGAGATATGGTTGTGATTTTTTTTGTTCGTTTTTTTATTTCAGAATTCACAGGAGGACTACCTCAATTCTGAATAGTCCGTGCAATTTTTTTGTTGTTCTACCTCGATTTCAATAAACATTATTCTTTCAAACAGCTTACTCTTTTACTTACATGGGAAACTGTTGAAGTGTTGAGAATGTGTGTCTGAGTTTCAGTGAACTTTTGATTAAATGCACATTCCCTATGAATAAAATATAACCTGTTCCTTGTTTTTCAGATAATTACAAATAACAATGAATTAGCAATTGCATTGGATATGCATAACAATCGATGCTTAAGCTTGTGCTTTACTGTTGTACAATAATACGCTTTTCTTTTTAAATAAAATTTTTAAAATATTTACTGCTTTTCCACTGCATTGCAGATATACTTCGGTATGTTGTTGCAAATAAAGGCGGACATAGGAGACCTTTAAGGTTCTGTCGATGGATAGACAATAGGAGGTAATGTGTGTATTTAGGCGAAAAGTAGACAATTAAGCGCATAAGTAGGCAATTCGGCGGATATTTAGGCGAAAATGCGACAATTCGGCGGATATTTAGGCGAAAATGCGGCAATTCGGCGGATATTTAGGCGAAAATGCGGCAATTCGGCGGATATTTAGGCGATAAGTCGGTAATTTGTCGACAAAAACGCGAAAAAGGGGAAAATCCGCATTATTTCCCCCGGACAGGCGAAATTCTGATGCGTTTTCCCCTTTATTTCCCCTTTCGCTACCGAAGCATTTACCCCTTTATTTCCCCTTTCTTCGCCTTTATTTCCGCTTTTTGGGTTGTCTGGGAGCAGCCCTCATTTTATTCCACCTCCGATTATAAGTGGTTGTGTGACAACCAAGGGAACGTGACAAGTTCACAGTTGCCCTACGTCTACGAACATTCTCACTGATATCAGAAAAAGTCATATTATTGGCTTAAGAAGGTAATCAGTCACAATGAACCTAAAGTCCTGAGAGCACGTCACTCACCTGCATCACGTAAGTTTTTTGTGATGGCTCCAAAGCATGTCGGAACACTTTAACTAAACAACAAACGAAGTCACTCTATATGCGTATCAACCGAAAGCCTGGTTCCGTAGTTTGTACATTGTTTTTATGAAAATACTTTTGTTTTTTTAATTTGCGGTGAATAAATTTGTCGAAGTTTATGAAAACTTTAGTTCCAGATGCGGTTCATTCAAACACTGTACGTTACGTAGAACTGTCGACCAATTTTCCCCCAAATACACGACGTAAGGGGGAAAAAGCGACATTTCCCCTAAATAACCGACGTAAAGGCGAAAAAGCGACATTTCCCTTTTATTTCCCCTTTCGTCCGCTTTATTTCCCCTTTTTTCCCCTTTATTTCCCCTTTTTGTGTTGCTTGGGAAGAGATGACTTAAATATGGAAGAAGTTATTACTCGATTTCTGATCCATTTATCGACTTGTTAATGGTGAATTGTACTTGCTTGAGCTTGTGTTGTTACAAATAACAATATTAGGCTTACTAAAGATTCACTTAGGTGGTGCTATAGCAACAAATACGTCAAACTGCTAATAAACTTGAATGAAAACTATGTAACAAGCACAAAAATTACGAAAATCGACGTGTGATGGGAAAAAGTTTGTTAATAGCTGACAAATAACGGCACAAAAAATCCATGTAACATGTGCGCGAAAACCCCTGGCTCACCCCAGTGCCCGTGGTACCGCCTCTAGTCGGGCTGTTCAAGGTCGTCGAAACGAAACGGCGGGCGGATTTGAAGAAGTCTACCGTTGTTCCCGTGCCATCGACTCACAGAGGATTTTATACAAAACGTGGTAATTGAGCACCTATGACAAATAAAACGTCTAGGCTATAATTTGCGGACGAACTAATTATGTATAAAATAACAGATCTCAGATTTCGGCGCGAAAATCTTTCATCCGATTGGCAAAATAGAGCTTTGTATTATAGCTGATGTCAGTTCTTGATGAAAACTCCATATATAATTCCTAACTAAGGCAATTTATGACAATTATTACGAAATTGATAATAAAAGCACCAGTAACACTGGCTGCAGCTAGTTACTACAATATATTCGAATGATCGGAGAGCGTACAGACTCCTACACAGACTTGGTTATGTGTATCGTGTCGTTATTCACAAGTAAATGGAGTGCACACGAACATTATTGAAGCTATGTAGCCGAGGCTGAAAGAGTTTTGAGACCTTATCATGGCTCCAGAGGCCGACTATTCTGTAGCCATGTGGATGATTTCCTCTACTGAATGCATTACGATTTTAGAACCTCTGAACCCCTTTCTAGCCTTGACAAGTTTTTGAACCATGTAAAAGAAGTTTATCCACTTTATTTCTTTGGTTTTGAATAATATATTTTCACTCTATACTGACTGCTTGCTGATTGGCTAATATTTCTCAAGATCACTTAATATTCGTTCAAAGGTCGTCCATAAATTATGGTCTCACCAAATTATTCGCTCGAGCACGGAGTGTCAGCAATTTATAAAGATTATATTTGTCATATGAGCTATTTTGGCGCTCGTCAGCCTTCTCTTCTTTAGTTGATAAATCGGGAAGGAACGAACTATCTGAAATTCCTACTCTTCATTGTTAATCAGAGTATTCTAGCTTGTCTGTCGATTGGTTACTCGATTTGACCAACACTAGTAACATTCAGCACGTACTAGATAATCTTGTTTCCTACTGATCAGTGCATATAAACTACTTCTTTCTTCCATTTCAGTAAAGAGAACACTGTAAGCCGGCCTTTATTATTTTATTTTAGCCATATAATATGATGTCACACGGCGATAGGCTAATATGAATAAATTACGAGATCACAACACAACACAAATAAGAAATCAAAGTTTATTCACGAAGAAGAATGAAGCAGAAGTAAACACGATTAAAGATGAATGATAATAATTTAGGAATAATAAGGATCATAACGACAATTAATTGGTCCAGCTGAAGCTTACGGTAAGATGTATAGGGAACCATTATAACCCACTTATTTTATTAATTATGCAATAAAAGCACAAACAATAAAAATTTGTTTAAGAGTCCGAAAACCTCCAATATACTCAGTACTCGCCCGTTTACCGCATTATATGTAAGTCAGGTTCCTTCGGATTTTTCCGTCTATTGTTTTGGCGACTTATAGCGTCTGTGTTCATGGTGGATATTACACATACGAAATGTTCAAAGTCCTATGGATATTTGAAGGCTAGCATGGTTTTCAAGCGTTCTCATATTTAATCAGTTTGTTAATGAATAAAACTCCGAAAACCTGTCGAAAACAATAAAAACTTAAATTTCTCTCTTTGTGTTGCAAATGTAGAATTATAGTCGTGTTTACAACATAAATCGGAGGCAAACAGCAGTGATTTAGTCCAGCGATGAGAAATAATGATTTCGAAATCACAACTCTGTTGACTTCTTTTTCTTACCTCGCAGATTTTACTGAAGATTCGGGGCACCAGAAAAACAAGTAGATGATGGACTCTAGAGACTAGTTTTCATCAAAGATAAGGGAGATTCGGTACACTCAATGAACGATAACTACATGTGATTGGTTGGTGTATAATCTTTCCATTCCTCAGGTCATTGTTGTGTATTTTCGGAAAACTTGAGAATTTATAGTTCGTTTGGTGTAATCACTACTACTAGCTATCCTGAAATTATAAATTTTGCACCTCTTTGATCCATCCGAAACCAAATCTGTGTCGGAAATCAGACACAATAGGATATGTAGGTAGCTTAATGAGCAGATGCTCATTAGTTATGCGCTCAAAACCTTTTTTCAACCTGACAGAGCAATGAAACCGGTATATATTTTCAGGTTAAATGAAAGATAACTGGTAAACCATCCATAATCTTGAAGGCGAAACACAGTAAACTGATGTTCGATTGTCTGCGCCTAGAAGGAAGAATGGGTTAACGCGTTGTTACCCTTCAGATATCCTCTCTAAGTGTTCAGTCGTTGAAGGTGAATAACGTGCTGACTGAAAAAAGTATAGTTCCACATGTACGTACTGTGAGATCCAAACTATGGTTAGGACTGCTGAATAGCCTTCCAAGTACGTTAGACACGCGCCTTCGCCCGTCAAAATCAAGGCGAGTAATCGGGTAAATAGTGGTTCTATAAGTCATCATAAATTTAAATGTAAATCGTTACCTAAACAAATATTACCACCCGGCTATTCAACCAATAATTGTTCAATCAATAAAATCTAAATTACAACAAATAAAGTAGTTGATGAAAGATGAGGGAAAATTACCAGTCACAACAAACGAACGTTATTCTATCCTGACTGGATAGAACACACAAAAGGAGGAGCAAATCAATATGGCTACCGCCAAGAACAAGTGTCAAGTAAAACAACACAGATGCAGTTCGGGAAGAAACACAAACTTAGTGAATGCGTAAGAAAAACAAAAACTATAATAAAAAATAAAAGTATTAACAATTCAAATGTAATCAAAAGACAACAATGTACAACTAAGGGGATCAATAGGAACAAAGTGCAAGTATTTACATGGAGGGATTTACACAAACACACAAGACAATCAAAATGGATCTTACACGTACAAAGAAGCAAACAAGATGGTGGTCTCCGAGTTCATAGTAGTTTTATCACTCTCCGCCATTTCTAAGGTCACAGAAATAGTTATAATTAAGTCTCAGCAATAATAACAACTTTCCATGATGACATGGAATTCTTCATCGTATGCTGCCATACATTTAACTGACCGTTTGAAATAACTGAACATTTATTGGAACATAGTCATCCCGTACAGATAGTTTCCCCAAGTTTGTTCAAAACATTCGATGTAGTAGATTTTGGAGATTGTAACTTAAAGCTTAATTCAGTGATGGAGTGCGCTTTTTTAAGTGGTTATTCCATTATATTCTGGAGATTTAACAAGCATCTTTGACTTTCATGATCTGCCTTACTCAAAGGATCTTAAGATATTAACTTTAACGGAACACACATAAAATGAGAACTCAGAACATGTAATCAGCAGCATAGAACTGTATCATGTTGTTATCACAGACTGAAACACGGAATGTATAACGTTAAAAATATATATTTCTTTAAGTAATCACCTACACTGACCACAAATAAAATGTCTGATTGTATCCAAAATCCTATCTCGGCTTATGCGAAGTTCTGTCAGATTTCCTAACGGTTTGATACTATGATTTTTATTCGCTCCATTTACTGGAAATTTATAATTCGGTACAGAATCCGTTTCAGTGGACGAATGATCAGATTTAGAAGTTTATCCATCTACTTCATAGTTTTTTTACTTAATCCACATGTCTATTATGCAGTGAATGATCACTCCAACCAAGAACTTTCCCCATCTGACTTTCTTTTTTCTGAACTATAACTTTTGTAGATGGTCGGTAGTTATTTTCTGTTTGATACCACACTTCTGATTAAATTCTGTTGTCTAAATGATTTGCGAGTATATAATTTTTAAAGAGTTTAGCTTAGCCCTTATTTCTTCTTAAATGCTCAACATTCTAATAAAGAAATGAAGAATTGTCAATGCAATGTGACGGCTTTTCTAAATCACTTGAATTTATTGATGCTATGACGCACGTTAAAGTTTGAGAGCCAAACTATTTGACCGAGAACAACATAACACTGTAAATATCGCTAACCCGATCGCAGATTTATCTCTCTCTCTCTCTTTTGGAAACAAATCCAACAAAAAGTAACTATTGTGTTAAGTATTGGTTTACGACTATTTAACTTTTCATTGACCATTCGCCAAACTTTGAACTGGGTTTTTCATAAATACTAATTCTGGTCATCTGGAATATGGGTCGACTACAATTAACGAATAATACGAGTTTAAAAGCTGGCCACAACAGCCGTTGTGAATCACATAAGAAGTTCATGGTAGTTTGTGAAGTAAAAAAGCACAAAATACCCTCAAGATATACTGATATGTCTCCTATCCAATTGTTAATCCCAGCTAATCTACTCTTGCACTGAACATCCTAAACTTTAT